AGGAAGAAGAGGACGCTTTCAAGGATGCATCCCATGAAGACAGTTTAAAAGACGTACAGGAATCGCTGGAGGAATTGCAACTCTCTGAGGATCAGATATCTTTCGACGGAGCGCTAAGCGAAGAAGAATCTTCACTAGCCAAACGGACCAAAAAGAACAAAAAAGCAAGAAAGTCAGCTGTCAAGCAAGCGCAAGAGGAAGCCAGTGACGGACCAGATGAGCCAATAGAAAAGAATGCAATCAAAAGCGAGTCAGAGGATGAAGACTGGAGTAAAGGAAAGAAGGCGAGCAAAAAGAGTAAAAGCAAAAAGCCGACGACAAGGAAGGTTAAACTATTAGAGCAAACGGTTCCGGAACCAAATACAAAGGAGGCCAAAATAGCTCCAAAGGGCGAAGACGAGGAGCTCGACCCGACCAAGCCGCAACATACTTGCGTCACCTGTAGGCTCGTCTTTGACTCGAAAAATAAACTGTTTGCCCACCTAAAGAAGACGAACCATGGCGTCTACATACCTAAGGCAAAGCCTGATGTTGAGGGCAAGCCTCCTGGCAAGGCTAAGGGCAAGCGCAACAAGTAGGTCGTATGGATATACAACCACACCTTGTATCTATACTTTAGAATGTTAAAAGTTTATTTATGCTAATGATAAATTTAATTCGAGAATGAAGTTAAGTATGCTCGCTCTAAGTCAGATATTGTTCTTATTGTATCCAAAGGCAGCTACGGAATGCAGACCAATTTGCTGCCCGCCTCCACGCGTCTGCGAACACGGGACCGCATATTGGAAGACTCTGCCTTTAGGCTTATTCCGGCGGCAGTAAATGTAAGGAGTACCCCAATGATTCCGCAGTAAAAGGAAACTCCTGTAAGGGTTTAGTTTAGTAAGTTTCAACGAACAGTTTCACTGAATTACCTATGCTACAGTCGGCGGGGTAAAAGGGTTCGGCATCCATGCCGCACAGACGTTGAATCCGACTAGCTCGCCATCCCATCGGATGCAGAAATAGAGCCAGCATCATACATATTCCTGGAAAGAATGCATACTTAACTGCTGCGGGAATACTGCACATTGGGTGCTTACCTGCTACCACCTGGGCGCAGGCCGTCATGTTGTGTATACTCTTGCCACAGGCCGACTGGCGGCAGCTGGTGATCAGGGTCAGGAGCACCGTTACGGACAGTAGACTAAATCCCAGCGTGACGAAGAACATAGCCGCTTTCCATTCGCCGGGGTAAACGCTACTGTCCGTGGCCAGTCCGTCTATGTCGAAGCGGCCGCAGTGGAATCCGCCCTCGTGCATCACCTTGCAGCGCGTGTAGATGCCCACCGAGGATTGACGGTGAAGGCTGGCGTTGGAGTCCATTCCTTGGGCGGGGCCCACCAGCCACCTGGGCGTGACCAGGGCCACAGCGAAGAGCATGTCCGCCACCAGGGAACAGAGGAACCACACCAGACTGGCGCTGGTGATAATAACGTAGCACATTTCGATGCACCAGACTTTCCAGAGTACACAGATTCAGCGATCGACGACGGACGCCACAACGCGTCAGCACTTGCCGGATAGATAATAGACTCTAAGCGCTTTGGCTTTGTCTGGGCACGCACATCCCACACCCACTTGGCCGTCACCCACCACCACCGTCGCACCACTCGCCACCACCAGCAGCGCGGGCCAGACCAGAACTTCCTCCCAGCTGACCAGCCCGAAATGGAATTGTTTATTTTATGCCTTCGCCGCTCGCTGTTATGCGCTGCCTTCTGCGTCTGTTTTATGTTATTCACCCCACTCACACGCGCACGGAGGGTGACTGGGGGACAGGGGGAGAACGAGGGCGAGGGCGAGGCGGTAGACCGCCCAGTCCGCGGCTCTGTCAAGAACTCAATGCGGAGCTGACGTCGAAGCGAGGGAAACAGAGTCGTGCGCGGAAATAACTCTGCCTCGATGGCGTTTTCGCTAATCCCCCAAGCGGCTGCAGCTATTTGGCAACTTTATTCCACACTCTGGATCTTTGGATCTGAACTTCCGTTCGCGCAGGCGTGTCTGCTGCCGTTTCTCACCAGCGTCATCTCTCGCCGACTCCGACCGACCGAATGAATGGGGCCCATTAGAGCCAGCTGCAGTCCCAGACGGAGCCAGGCCCCAATCGCAGCACTGGAAGAAAAGGTTTGGTGCATCTTCACATTTTAACAATAAGTCGTGGTAGTAGTGTTCTAATTTGTTTCACGCGTTATATATTTTTTAGGTTTATATCAGCAAGAATAACTTAGGCACCTTAACCATTATAAACCTTATCGTTTTGTTAAGAATGTAAACTTTACGGAAATAAAGAGTAATTTCATTAATTAAATGTGGAAATTTCTTTTTCTGAGAAACGAAATGCATGTATTATAATTTTTATTTAAATTTGCATACCTATGTTTTCAGTGCCTTATGCAGATGTGGGCGCCGATTTCTCAGTGAGAGCGTGGAAATCCAGACATTCCAAATTCAGAATCAGTCCCCGAATGGCTCTCCCTGGCTCTCTGCACACACGTTCGAGTTGGATCCGATCTGACAACTCCACCACCACCAGCCCCACCATTGCCTCCATCCCCCCTTCTGGTGAGTAATGCGCGCCGCCGCTCCGATTCGAGCTGATCATGTGCAATTCCGATCAAGACGATCTCCGGTCGAGCGGTTATCAGTTGGCCGAGTCTGTTGGGGGCCATTGCGTCATCCGCACTGTGTTTGTACACAGTGATCGTGACCGAGGCCGTAATGGGATCCGCACACAAATTGCGCCGCCTGCGGAAAGCACTTTCACTCTCCCTTTCATTGCCGGGACAAATCCGCGGCTTATCACTTGTCTTTAGCCAAGATGTCGCGTCGGATGGTCTTCCTTCAGTTGCTGCTGTGGACAGTTGCACAGGCTCACTACTACTACGACTACGGCTACTGGGAGATCAACGAGCCTACGCCGCTATGTTCCGACTACGAAATGCTGGTGGTCAACACCCACCAGTGCGTGAGGCGCTGCAACATCGTCTGCCGGAATGGAGTGTGCTTCGAGGACGGACCCTGCCCCTGTGCCGACCAGTACCTGGCGGGTAATCCGGATGGGCTGGTGTGTGCTGCTGAGTGCCTGCCCGGGTGCAGGGCGGCAGGTGGCTACTGTGCCGCACCGGACCTATGTGTGTGCCGTAGGGACAGGCACTACTACTTCGATCCCCTCTCCCAAAAGTGCCGCCACAGGGCTGCCCGACTGCTGGACCCCTGCCTTGGGTGAGTATGATTCTTGCTCCTCACCTTATCGCTTCTGAAATGTACATACATATGTATGTATGTGCCCTTTGACACTTGCAGCCGCTGCACCCATGGTACCTGCTCCTCCGACGGACGTTGCATCTGTGCCCAGGGATACGAGCTAAGGGCCAGCCTGCTGCACGGACAGCAATGCATGCCGGTCTGTGATCAGTAAGTTTGATTGTCGCTTTATCTTTTCGGCGTACTGACCCTGAACTATACCCCCAGCAACTGCGGACCACGTGCCTACTGCTTCGCTCCCAACTTGTGTGCCTGCCGGCACAAAAAGCACCATTATGCCCACAACGGTATCTGCTCCAGGGACTATTGACTTAGGGGGGCTTTTGGAAAAGTGGGGCTGTTTTAGGTCCCGCTGATGCAGCCTGGAATTTAATTTATTTATTGTGTAGGTTCATGAATATTTAAGAATTGAATGACAAAACTATGTTACGCTTTTAATTAAATTATTTACTATGGAATGACGAACGGTAAGGAATAACACATATACTACGTACGTACTAAATTCAAAATCGCCAATATACAATGTTGATATTAATCGTTAACAAGATACCTCCTTGCATTTACTATATATGGCATTCACTTGTTCTTAGTTCCTCTTGAGTCCGCAAACTGATGTGCCTTACCTTTTGCAGGGCACCATTAAGAGAGCGCTGTGATTTGGTTTTTGAAAGAGAAACTGGTTTGGTTTTGGTTTTGTTGTTCTTGTTACCGCACCCACCCCGCCGAATTACAATGCGACTTTGTTATTGTATATAACAGATCGGACACATGGAAATGCAGAATATTACAGCACAATATACAATTTCCAATCGCCACTTGTTCATAGTTCCTATTGAGTCCGCAAACTGATGTGCCTTACCTTTTGCAGAGCACCATTAAGAGAGCGCTGTGAGATTTGGTTTTTGAAAGAGAAACTGGTTTGGTTTTGGTTTTGTTGTTCCTGTTCTTGTTACCGCACCCACCCCGCCGAATTACAAAGCGACTTTGTTATTGTTTATAACAGATCGGTCACATGGAAATGCAGAATATTACAGCACAATATACAATTTCCGATCGCCACCGATCAGCTGAGAAACCGGAGCAGACATGCGTACGTGTTCTGCAGAGGCGTCGCCTGTTAACTAAAATGTTACGAGGGGTCTTGAGAGGGGGCGTGGACTCAAAGAGGCGCTTCTGTACTCAGCAGTCATTAGGCCTCTGACAAGACCCGAATTTTAAACTGTTTGTGTTTGCGGAGCCCATCATATTTGGGGTATTTCAACTAACCCACACCCCCACCCTCCGAGACTATTTCTTAGATAAAGCACAGCGAAGAAAAGCAGCGCCTTTCGACGTCGACGTCGGCAGAGGCGTCATTTTTAGCTTTGCGCGTGTGGCGTGTTATTGTTTTACTTGTTGTTGTTTCCGTACAGGCGGGCCTCTTGGTCTCGACGACAGGCACAGTGGGCAGCGTCACATGACAGACTAGATTTTTATTTCTTGTTTTTCTCCATTCTGATACATGAGAAATGTTATGTTATATAATTATTATTAAGAGTTATTTTTCATTTTAAAGTGACGAGTTACGAAACGCTATTTAATACGTACGTTTGCAATAGATTCATATAAAATGAACCAGGAACACGTTATGATGAGTTCCACTGTGCCAGCAGCAACAACAGCAAAACGGCGGCAGGCGGCAGCACTCGTGTCCGCCGCCGATGTTCTCCATCGCGATTCAGTTGGAGTTTTGCTGGCCATCAGCGCGGTTGTATCTTTGCTGGAGCTCCTGCGCACCATCCCATCCGATCCAATCCCGAAGAGCTCTCTCGCTTTTGCTAGTGCAGCAATTTGCAATTTTAATTATCTGCAGGCGGTTCGACCAGAAACTGAAAGACACAGCAAAATGGGCCAAGCAAAGGTAAGCTGAGTAAGAGTGCAGCACACTGGGAAGCACATGCACACAGGCACACCACTCACTTACGTATGTACATATGCGCATCCCTTATCCTGCGTCCATGGCAAGTGGGCAGCCCCGAAGTGAAAGCGTGAAAAAGGCTGAGAACTTGGGCACCAAGCTGAAGACATTTTAAAGTTATTCGATCCATCGGAAAGTTGGCAGATATGTAGTTTATTGAAATTTTTAAGATATCTATGTGTGTGAGCTGTCGCCTGTTCTGGGTTATGTAAGCGGATTTGCCAAGATGCTTTGATGCAACCGCTTGCCTAGTAATGACATTGATTTACCGCCGCTTGCGTGTGGTATTCATTTACAGCAATGATTAGACCGATTTAAGCAATTATTAATGCTCCTAATTACATGTGTACAGATACCGTGTATATACATATGTACCTGAGGAGGCGTAGCTGCTGCGCAGTTTGTAGAGCACGCACTCAGTCCCAAAAATACGAAGAAACTACATATTTTAGCAACAATAACCGACTTTAAGAATAAACATGTGTGAATGCACGAAACCGGTTGAACCATCCCATCCTCGCCCGAAAAGCGGGTCATCTGAACATCTCGCTAAACACCCAGACGTTCACACCTTATCAATACATTGCGGGAGCTAGCCAGTGGAAAGTATTCGGATCCCTGATAAGCCAGGGCGATCGATTGATACTAGTAGAGCTAACTCTTACAAGATACCACCTGTTTATCAGATCTCTAACCTAACCCTACTTCTTTGTCTTCGCCACACCCACCTCCCACGTACTCCACAGAAAGTCTCCTCCGCACTGAGCAAGCTCTTCGTGTACGGCGCCCTCAAGTACGGACAGCCCAGCAACTCAATCCTGGCCAGCTCCGGCAACGGCTTCGCTAAGTTCTGGTGCAAGGCCACCACCACTCAGAAGCTGCCCCTAGTGATCGCCACCCGCTACAACATTCCCTTCCTGCTGAACAAGCCCGGAGTGGGCTATTACGTAACCGGGGAGATCTACGAGGTGGACAACCGGATGCTCAATTCCCTGGACAACCTGGAGGATTGCGAGGAAATATACACTCGCGAGATGCACGACATGAACATTGGCGTGGGAGAAGGGTGAGCATTAGTCGGAGCTGACGTCATTCCAGCAATGTGGTGTGATCGGTCACCCTTTCCTTTCCAGAACCGTTCCCTGCTGGGTGTACCTGCTGCAGAAGTACCCGGAGAACCTGCTTAGTTTGCGCTACTTGTCCAGCTACGAAAACTCAACCACCCATCCATACATTATGCGCCATCGCCGCACCCACAAGCATCCGGCCCAGGACGACCTCACCTACGAGGCCCAGAACTAAAAGCCTAGATTGTGGTGTCGCCCGTTTCCTTGGATGTGCTCTGGATGGCCTGGCCACTAATCTTATGTTACCGTAGTTGCATTTTAAGGCCGTACATGCAGACACGATGTACTGATCGATATATACGCGTCTATATTGGCAATGATATACACTGATACATATGTACCATACGCATTATTTAGGTTTTAGCGAACGTAGTCTGTAATTTGATAGTTTTCGACAAACAAAGCAAATAAACTGAAGCAATTCGAAGTAAGCCGTGTCTCTCATCTCTTACAAAAGTAAGGTGCTGGGCAAAAGTAAGGCGCCTCTGGTAATTTTCCACCGAGTGCCGAGTGCTTCAGTTTCTCGCGGTGTACGGAGGCAAGATTCGGTGTGAATGGCAGCAAGAAGAAGAGCGGCCGGGTTATGCCGACTGTGGAATCTACAGGTCGGATTTGATAGTACGATACCCCTTCGAAACTGATAAGCCCGGCGGCAGGAAGCGCAATGGGTGAAAAGCTGAGAATGGCGGCAAGGGTCTTTGTGTATGGCACGTTGAAGCGCGGGGAGCCCAATCACCACTGGCTGACGAAAAAGGAGAACGGCCAGGCCCGATTTCTTGGCAGGGGAAAAACGGACACGAAGTTTCCCCTGGTTGTGGGCACCCGCTACAACATTCCTTTTCTGCTTGCCCGCCCAGGTGAGGGGAACCACATAGAAGGCGAAGTCTACGAGGTGGACCAGACCATGCTCTCCAAACTGGACATACTGGAAGACTACCCGGATTACTACGATCGCGAGCAACAAACCATATTGATGGAGCAGAATGAGTATGAAGGTGTGGGGCGTTTGCCAGTTGTGAGAACTCACTTTTGCCCCCTATGTGCAGAACCATTCAGTGCTGGCTGTACCTGATTCGCAACTTTCCAGAGAAGATGCTGGCCAAGGAGCTGCTGATCTCCTACCACAACACTCCGGAAAGGCCGTACAACGAAAAGTCAGTACGCACTGTTTCAGCCAGAGATGATCTTTCTTACTGATTTTGCAGCTACTTGGAGAGCTGCCCGGAAGACCTGGCCATGGATGAGTGAGACACGAAAACTTATAAAAAAGTAACGTTTATAAACGGATTTCAACGCATGGCTATTATTCGTATTGTAATACATTAATCCATTCTTCAAAAATGCAAAACGAAATGAACAATAGTAGTTTGTGGTTTAGGGTAAGAGTAGCAGTGGTGGTTTATATGAATCAAAAAGCCTAGAAAATCTGCATGTGCTGGCGCAGAACCCTTGGATGACTTGAGCTCGGCAGCGGACACTGTGTTTGATAGCGGTTCCCGTGGCCAGCAGCAGCACCGTTGGCGTGGGCTGACCTAGCTTGCTTCGTCGTCGAGCGACTGGAATCGGTTGGAGGCCGCCACCGGGGCAGCCGTGGACTCCTGAACGCGCTGGAAACGGCTTCCGTGCCGGACTTCTTCGAAGGCGGGTTCGTTTTTCTTCTTGCGCTGTTCCTCCGGACGCGCCGCACTGAGTGTTGGGAAAAACTCGGTATTGGTGATGTCGGGGGCGGCGCGTCGTGGACGCGATGCCCCCCCAATAGTGCTGCCTCCCAGTCCGCTTCCGGCCTGCTGCTGCAGAGGGTTCGATTAAACTGGAGATCTGGATCGGCTAGCTCTCCCTACTTACGCTGTATCGTAGCGCGGGTGAAACGTAGGTCTTGGACGAGGGCTTTTCCACCTCCACGGGCACCGGGATCTGCATTACCTCCTCGGCTGGCACCACTTTCTTCCAGGGTCCGTGGCCGACGCGCTCCTTGTTTACGTCCGCGTTGTCATACCCATTGCTGTCCTCATCGTCCTCGTCGTAGTTACCGCCGTCCGGGGCAGAGGGCACTCGGTCAGCTCGCGACTCGGTACTTTCCTGGGCAGTTCTGGAACGGGCCGAAGAGCTATAGAGAGCGGATTTTCGCAAAATGCGGGGTGATATGGAAAGTTATTCACTAGAAGTGGCCTTTTCTCGTGCCATCGAATGGGCGGTCGGCGTAATGGTCAAAAACTCACATGGTGCTCAGCTGGCCGATCTTTAGGCCGCTGTAGTCCTTGCGCTGCTCCTCCTCGAACTCCTTCCATTCCTCCTCGACGGGCTACGGAGCGACAAAACAATGAACTTGTTAGCATGCCTTATGTGGCCAACGGTCGCCGATTTCACCAGCCTTAGATTCGGACTCACCGGGGCGGACTCTGGCACCTTGGTGCCGCTATTCTCGTTTTCGCCTACTACTGCCACGCCGCCAGCGACTGCCTCTGCTTTTTTAGGCTTGACCACCTCGCGCTTGCTGCCGTCCTCCAGGTTCTTCACCATCTCGTCGGCGGTAACGAACTTGGTCTTGTTCTTGGACTTCTTCTTGTCCTTTTTCGCGAAGAAATCGTCCAGTTCGGCCATGGCTTGCAATTAATTATAAATGAATAAAATTCGCGACAGGAAATTTGGAGAACAACTCTGCACGCCTTTTGTGCCAGATGTATCGATAGGCGGGCCAGGGCTGAAGATTCCATGACATTCGCAGCGAAATTAAGAATTATCAATATACTTTTAATTAATTTAATTTACATAATGAAAACATTTTGTTTAGCTTTATTTAATTGATGGTTAATTGTGACTAATCAGTTTAAGCATCACTGTCAGAACTTAGCCCGCAGCCGAGCATCGATATCCAGTCTGCATGATATCGATATTTCCAGCTTTGGCGGTCTTTTTGAAAGCCACTGTCGGGGCGCGACGATACAAACACATTCGGTTTTTGCAACAAAATTTGTAACATGCATAATTAGGCGTGCGCAAAAATCATTGGAAAGACTGCATTAATTACCTATATTCGCGATATTGGGCAACAGTATATTTGCATAGGAGATTGATAACCACCTAATTATGCCAAACAAAGTGGAAACCACCGCCGCGGTGGCTGCGAATGCAAAGCTGGACCATTGTGTAATGGAAACCAAATCGATCCGTTGCTAATTTTGCATCCATAATGATGCCAATATATCAAATTCGCGACAAAGCAGCAAAACCAATAAAACTCGTTCAAATGGCAAAGCCAATGTTGCCCAAAATATGCCAAAGTGTTCCTCGGCCTGGGACTCGCATCTTGATGGACCCAGCAGCCCCACCCAAGTACTCAAAAGTCAACTACTTGGCCCATCACTCGGACCCAGCCTCAACCTCTTAGGCCAGGCGGCCAGGCGGCCAGTTCCGCCTAGATTAGCCCAGCCAATAGATATTTATGTCTGTACCAACACCTGCCGAATACCGACCACAGTACGGCGTGCAGCTGGGCCAGTGGTTTTGCTTCGTTTCGGCTTGTTTTGCCACATCCCAGAGCACTGCCAGCCCACTCCACAACGTATTCATATTGACAACCACCGGGCTGGTCGCGTTCAGTCTTCTTTCGAGCTTCGCAGCGTGCACACCGCTCCACACACCCTCCACTATTTCGATTCGATCCGAACTAGTACGATCCGAACCGATATAGTCTCGCATTAATTCGCGTGCGCGAGAGTTTGATACAAATATTGCAAGTGTTTTAATTGAGGAGAATCCCAAGCACTCAAGGTAATTCAAACACTTAGTAGCGCCAAAAAATCATTTCCAGCTGCGATTCCTCCTTTTGATTACCGCATTGTATAGACAATGATGCTCATTTTTCGGGGCTATTAGGCTGCAATTCGAGGCATTTGCTAGTCCAGCGAAGCATTTAATTGGGTATTACAAAGGTAGGCCCCTCTAGATTCGTATCGCGCCGTGTCAAGTGGCTGCCCTACTGAGTTTGATTTCGAGATACGCTCGTGAATCCCCGTCTGTGTCAGGGTCGTGTCATGACCTGTCGGAGAGTCCGATATTTTGATATTCCACATGTTCCGCCTTGAGTTCCGTGGTTTGGTTTCCGTGGCCCTTTGCATATACGCGTGTATGAACCTCGGCTTGCTGCTAGTTTTATGTGTCGGGGTTTCATCTTATTTGTATCAATGCTGATCCAATACAAAAGCTATTTACATACTGAGGGGGTTTTTTATTTAAATTTTCGTATTTCGTGAGACTACCTGAGCAAAGGCCAAATGGAAAATGGAATGGAAGAATTGCCAAACATTTAAAATTTGTTCGATTTCATGGTTTAATGTCTCAGCCTCAAGTGGCTTTCTTAATGATCCTCCACACAGCCACATCTGCAGCTCTTCCTCGTCTTCTTCTCCGAGCTTACGTTGCCTTAGAAAAGGGGTCATTGGTGCGCCGCAGTCAGTCAATCAGTCATTGCGCTGCATTGGGTTTATTAACTGCAGACAGATTGCAGGCTGCACTTTGCATTGGAAAATTTTAATGGCCCCATCATCGTTAGCTAGTTCTGAGGTCGCGTTCGAGTTGCGGCTACAAAATGTTACTTAGGCTGAAAAGCAGCAATATGCAAACAAGAGGAACACACTATCGATAAGCAAAGCCACATACCAGCTAATTAAAGATTCCAAAATGTTTCTACTTACAACGGATATACCGGTTTTGGCTCTAATAAATATGTGACAAACGATGGAGGGGAACAAATATCATAAGATAAAGAGTCTTGTCGTTTTGAATAGGGTCATTTTGCGTTTGCGTAATATCAAAGAGCTTGAAAAACACTCTTGCCAATTGCGGGAAGGTTAAAATAAAATGGCACGAAAACATTACGTATTGCCATTTTTCGATTACTACGTCATTTTGGCAAACCGATCGGTCACATCAATTTAACTATGAACTGATGTAGATAGTAACAGTTCACGCGAACTTCTCGAATTCAATAATCTTTTTGATGCTCGTATTAAGTTCTATGCACAATTGAAATAACTAATGCTTTTTGCCTATATAAATAATGCTAGTTGCCTATTAGTATTTAGCATTAGTTACAGCTTACTGACTCGTCTCTTTCTCGCTCGTCCGCCCTAATTGGGATCAAGTTTGTGGCCTAAGTCTTTCGTTTACAAAATGAAGCTCCGTTGTTTTAGGTTCAGATTTAATATGTACGTTTGTGTGTAATGCTCATAACTTCGTGTTTGACAACTTGGCCGACCCGACTCTCAAAATTTGGCTCAATGTGTGTATTTCGAGGCTTGCATAAGTGCAAGCAATCTGAGTTTGTTTCTCGGGCTGTGGTGCTGCTCTCGCGGTTTCACACATTCGGCGGACGCGTTTTAATTGACCATAAAGCCGAAACTGGGGCTCAGTAACAAGCCCCTAAAGGCTGGTGCCGCGAGATGAAGGAGAACCGCAGTTATCCAAATGAAGTGATCCCAGAGACGCTCCAGTCACATAGATTAGAGCTTGTAGTTCAAGGTGCAGTGGGGTTGCTGCGTCATGCTTCCTTGCGATTTCCATCTTCGCCAGCTATGCTCGGCTGGAGGAGGTAAACATTCGTGGACGGAGATACAGTATTGGATATGCATACGCAGGGCAGGGTGTGACCACAATCGAGCTGCAATAAATAGGTAAACAAGTACGTCCGCTCGGTCTTGCGTGAAATGTCATGACATGCCCAAAGTGCAAGGCACAGGCACAGGCACAGGCACAGGCACAATCCGCAATTAGAGATTGCCGAGCAGATGTGGCCAACTGTAACGCCGCTGCAATCTAACCCAGCCGCATGCAGATTGAGAAACAAATACTTGCAACAATCCCCGTTGGAGGGGGAGGGGGGATATAAAGGCAACCTGGCACGCTAGACGGGTTCGATGCCAGCTACCCCTGGCATTGCATAAGCCAGCAAAGAAATGCGAATCCACAGGCGCAATCGAAAATCCAAATAGAAACCGAAAGTCCACTGGAAACCAGTTTGCGGCAGGTTCAGCTCACTGGTTGCCGCTGTCTTGTGGCTGCTTCCAAGTCGGACACCAGATGTGGCAAGAGGGGCACGCGTGGCCAGAATAAGCCCCAGTTTTCCAGCCCCACTTGCGCCATTCGCTTGGCAATCACTAGTTTTTCCTTTGACTGGTTTTCGCTTTCCCGGAATGCTTCTTGCGTCACTCCGTTCCCAATGCCACTCCCAGAAAAGCCACTAATACAACCCCTCTCTTGCAGAAAGATGACGGTGGATCTATCGCCCGTGCAGGAATACTACAAGGATAAGACGATCTTCATCACTGGAGCGTCTGGGTTCATGGGCAAGGTGCTGCTGGAGAAGTTGCTCTACTCCTGCCACTCCCTCAAGGAGGTGATAATCATCTGCCGCCCGAAGCGCGGCAAGGCACCCGAGACGCGTCTCGAGGAGATGTTCAAGCTGCCCATCTTCCAGCGCATCAAGGACGAGCGCCCGGAGATGCTCAAGAAGGTTACCATCTACCAGGGCGACGTTACGTTCGACCGTAAGTGCAGCTCTCATGTTCAGAACTTTAAACTGAAAGCTAATGCTTCTTCTGCCCTTCATTTCCAGAGCTGGGACTCAGCGGGGAGAGCCTGAAGCACGTGACCGAGAACACTAACATTGTTTTCCACATGGCGGCCACCCTTAAGCTGGAGGGCAACCTTCGCGACGCCATCGACATGAACTTGCTGGGCACCCGGCGAGCGCTGAACGTGGCCAAGGACATGAAGCAGCTGGAGGCCTTTATCCACTTGTCCACGGCTTTCTGCAACTGCGACCAGGAGGTGATGTATGAGAAGGTGTACGAGTTTCCACACAAGCCGGAGGATCTCATGCGCCTGGCCGAGTGGATGGACGTGAAGACCCTGGACGCCATTACGCCCGATCTGCTGAAGCCACACCCCAACACCTACACCTACTCGAAGCGCCTGGCGGAGCTTCTGGTGCGCGACCACTACGAGTCCATGCCCGTCATCATCGCCCGTCCCAGCATCGGTAAGTGACCTTTTGAGCACGGATGCCATCCCGCTGTTGCCTATCCGCGTCGCTTGGCCTGCGGCGAATCGATTTATTTGAGTCATTAATTCCCCACGTCTCTGGACGCGGATTGCTTGCTTGCTTGGTAGTCAGCTGCGCTGGGAGCGCAATGGTGACTGCAATTGCCAGCCGCCAGTTCCCCTCTGCTAACTAATAATGCGCCTATGCTTATGCCGTCTATGTCTATGTCTGTGTCTGTATCTGTATCTATGTCTATGTTGCCCTGGGCCGCTGGCTTGCTTATTATTTATATCTTTTTTTGACCACCTGGCGTCTTTTTTGGACGTCTCTGCCTGAATGTACGGGTTGTCTGCGCTGGCAGTCAATTAAACTTTTCTATTAGCAGTTTTGGGCAACCTGAGAGGTCGTTATTCATAGGAGGTAGAGAAACTATCGGGCAGAAACCAGTCCGAGCAGATTGATGCAAATGTGCAAATCCAAACACTTTTTAATTTGAAGGCGAGTGGTAATTTGATATGAAAGTATACTGTTTTCGGTAATTACCCAGCAGTAGTACTTTATCTGAGGAAAAAGCAACATAACATTTATTTAATCGAATCTGGGATTTTATATAACAAATGTTTAAAGATTAAGGATTTATGAGTGATTATGTAGGTAGGAAAACTCCAGACTTGATTAGGTTGCGAAAGGCATTGTGAATAGGCATTTCCGATGACAGCTCTCCTCAAACTTACTTAATGATAGGCTAGCGGAATGCTGAAATCGGTGATTTGTAACCGGGCGGGTTCAAGGCAAGGTGACCTGCTTAGCTGGGCAAACAGCCCGTGGATACAGTCAATATGAACGGGTCACGTCCTAGTTTGCTAACTAGCGAGCAAAGTTCCGCAGAGTTCGTGGATTTTAGCAGATCTTCAGAGATATTAGCAGATGATAATGAATGCACTCATTGGGGAGTGCGCTGCTTTGGTGCTAGTCCTAAGCCGCTTCATGCCACCTACCGCTAATTCGTCAAGTGTTTACGCTTTCCGTGTGTTTTATGACATCGCCACCGGTTGATCTCGCGTCCTCCTCTCCGGCTTGCCTCCTCCGCTGCCGCGCTTCTTAATACGAACACCACACATGAACCACAGCAGCAGCAATACAAACCGCCAACCAACACCAGCACCACCACAACCACAGCGCTTGAAAGAATAGCCCGATTACATGGCACGGCGTACAACATTGCTTAAAACAACAAACTACATCAACCAACCACTGCACACAAACGCCGTCGTCATTGACCAAAAAGTTCAATGAGCATGCAATGAAAACAGAGAAGACAGAAACGCCAACCAGCCCCCGCTTTACCCTTCCTCCGCCTCCGCCTTCGCCACCGCCACCGCCACCGCCCTCGCATCCGCATCCGCATCAGCCTGATCCCAGGAAAGTCTGGGGGGAGGAGTCCCATTCTGAACTCATCTCCCGCACGCCCAGTGTCGCCGTCGGCGTACGAGCCCGTCCCGGGATGGGTGGACAACCTCAACGGACCCACCGGGCTGATGGTGGGCGCCGGCAAGGGCGTCATCCGCTCGATGCTGATTGACACGCGCCACCTGTCCGAGGTGATTCCGGTGGACTACGCCATCAACGGGCTGTGCGTGATCCCCTACCAGTTCGCCAAGATGACGGAGCGGCCGAAGGAGGTGCCCGTATACAATATCACGTGCGCTGACCACCGGAAGATGCAGTGGGGCGAAGTAATCGAAATGAGTAAGGAAATAGGGTACCGATACCCGATGGAAGCGGGTCTCTGGTATCCAGACGGATGCATCACCACCAACAAACTGCACCACAGCATCAACGTGCTGCTGTTCCACTGGCTGCCCGCCTACTTGATCGACTTCATCCTGCTGCTGCTGGGCCAGAAGCGATTGTAAGTTGCGGATGCTGAGGATCGTGGACACAGATCTTGATCGTCTCTCCCTAGCATGATCCGCGTCCAGAACCGCATCTCTGTGGGCCTCGAGGTGCTGCAGTTCTTCACGATGCGCGCCTGGTTCTTCAAGTCGGACGCCTACTCCTCGCTGTGGGCCATGCTAAACGAGGCGGACAGGAAAAAGTAGGTAGCGCGAGAGCAGAGGGGTACTGAGCTTACTTAATCCGAAACAACTGATCCCACCCAAAAGCTTCAATATGGACATGGACCCCGAGGAGACCGTTCCGATGTACATTGAGTCATGTGTCCAGGGCGGGCGACAGTACCTGATGAAGGAGTCGCCCGATAGTTTGCCCCGCGCCCGGCTCCAGCTGAAGCTGTAAGCGAGACTCGCCCCAGGTTTCTGATCCTCGCGCCCGATCTCTAAGCTCGGTCTCCCTTTCATTTATAGCATGTACATCTTGGACCGCGCCTGCAAGACGCTCATCGTGGGCACCCTGTGCTACTGGACCTACGGTTTGGTGGCACGTCTGCTGGGCGTCTAGGTCGCCGGCAGCCCGGAACACCTAACATTCATTTGCGCGCTTTTGTCAATCAATCTCTGCTTAGGTTCGCTTGGGGCATAACTGCGAGCCTCTCGACGAGAGGCCTCGGGTCTGGTTTTCAATTCTACTTTAAGTGATTATCTATGTTTCGTGTCAAAATAAAAATTCTGTGTACTGAGCTTATGTGTCTGTGCTTCAAGTGTACAAGTGTTGATCCAGAGGACTCGCGCGACAACACGAACAACACAAACAAAACACACAGAACACACAGAACACGCAGCAGAAATAGCACAATGACTGCACACTGTTTCCTAATTTCTAAATTCACACACTCATCCTTGGCGAAAACGTAATCCCACCCATACAACTACACCACTTACACCCACGCACACACTCACACCCACACCCACACACACTCACACTTAATACGGCTTCGGTGACCATCATCTCGGGCTCGTGGTATGTAGACTGGTTTCAAGAGAAGTACCGATCAGGCAGCTCCTAGTAAACCCCTCTTCCTTCCGCCCTGCAGTGTCTCCGGCTGCCTACGAGCCGTTGCCCGGATGGGTGGACAACCTGAACGGACCCACTGGCCTGATGATCGGATGCGGCAAGGGCGTGATCCGGTCCGTTCTGGTGAATCAGGAGAACAAGGCCGAGGTGATTCCCGTCGACTACGCGATCAACGGACTGATCGTCATTCCCTACGAGTTCAACAAGCAGGCCAAGCGGCCTGCCGATGTGCCCGTCTACAATATAACCAATGCGGACCACAGGAAAATGACGATGGGCACCGTGGTGGAGATGAGCAAGCGCATCAACAAGCAGATCCCATTTAACGCGGGCCTATGGTACCCGGACCCCTGCGTCACCACCAACACACTGTACCATAACTTCAACGTGGCCATGTTCCACTGGCTGCCCGCCTACCTCCTGGACTTCCTGATGCTGATCCTAGGGCAGAAGAGATTGTAAGTGGCGCCGCACTGAATCACCCCCAATGGAGCTAATGTGCCGTTTCCCTCCTCAGCATGCTGAGAGTTCAGGAGAAGATATCCACGGGTCTGGGCGTCCTGCAGTTCTTCACCCTCAATGCCTGGAGCTTCCGTTCTGAGAACTACGCGTCCCTATGGAACAAACTCAACGAGGAAGACAAGGCGATGTAAGTGCTGTTGGCCCTGTCGAGTAATAATAACCACATGTCAACCTTTTACCACCCGTTAAGCTTTAACATGAACATGAACACGGAGAACACCGAGGAGGAGTACATGATCGAGTGTGCGAAGGGCGCTCGAAAGTTTATTCTCAAGGAAAAGGAGGAGGATCTGCCCAGGGCGCGCGTGCACATGAAGATGTAAGTTGGACCAGAGCCGTGCTAGCAATGTGACTCACCTATCTCTACTTCCAGCCAATGGGTCGTGGACGTTGTGTGCAAGACTGTGATCGTGGGACTGTTCTTCTACTACCTCCTCAAGTGGACGGGGGTGCTGGCTGTATTCTGATTCTAGTTCTCCGTGGACTTGCATTGGTTTGGTGGTCACAGGCATTTAATTAGTCACCTAGCTTAGCTGTAGTTACGCATATTCGAGGTTTTGAATCCAAATAAATATGATTGTAGGTTGTTGAATATACTCGCACACATTTGGCCAACTGCGCCGTGTTTCTCTTTCCCAATCCGGCCACCAAAAGCGGACTTTCTGTCCGAGCATACTGACATGTACTTTGTTCTCCAGTAACTCCAGCTATCGCTGAACCCCTGCCAGGGTGGGTGGACAATATGAACGGACCCACGGGTGTCCTTATTGGCGCCGGCAAAGGAGTTATCCGGTCCATGATCTGCAACGGAGAACTGAAATCCGAAGTAATACCTGTGGACATCGCCATTAACGGCCTAATCCTGTTACCATACCATAACAGCCTTGCCGAAAATAGGTAAATTATTCAGATGCCACCCAGTCACTGCGATGTATAACTTTTGCCAAAGACCTCTGCAGGTTCCAGTCTACAACTTGACCGTGGACGATGCCAAAAAGCGCACTTGGAAATGGATAATGGATGTGGGTCGCGACCTGGGCATAAAGTACCCCTTCGAGGTGGGACTTTGGTATCCCGACGGCAACATGACGTCCAGCAAATTCTACCACACCATCTGCACCATTCTGTTTATGTGGCTGCCAGCCTACCTAATCGACTTCCTACTTCTGATCTTTGGACAACGTCGCTTGTAAACCCTCAACGGAATTTGGCAGTACCGAACAAGTTATCTAACCTGCAACTTTTCTGTTTGTCTAGCATGATTCGTGTTCAAACCAAGATCGCTGTGGGTCTGGAAGTTTTGCAGTTCTTTACCACGCGAAGCTGGGACTTCAAATCCACACACTTTGAGCAGATCTACAAAGCATTAGGATCTACCGATCGCAGGATGTAAGCATTATTTTTTGTTTGTATTATTTGTTTGTAACGCAGTTTTATTGGCTACAGATTCAAGATTAATACCGACGACGTCGACGATTATGAGTACATGAAAGTCAGTATTTTGGGTGGGCGGCAGTATGTGATGAAGGAACCTTTAACTTCGTTGCCAAAATCACGCATACAATTGAGATTGTGAGTAATTTCTTACTTCCATCTATTTAACCAGTTTAACCAGTTTCCTTGTTTTTCAGCTTGTATGTCCTGGACCGCATTTGCAAAACGCTCATTATTTCAGGCCTTTTATATTGGGTTTCCCAAAAATTGCAAATACTCGATTTGCTTAGAAACGAATTACCTTCTAGTAACTAGGCATACGCTGTTCTTCAGTTGCTTTCTTAAAAATTGTACCTTTTATTTCATGTGCCTTTGAAAAGGTTTATAGTAAATCAGGTAATAATATTCAGGTGTTTTGTATACGTTTACTTGTTATTGTAAATAAATAAAAAATGTAAAATCAATAGGCTACTTGAATTAGAATTACGAGTTACTGTTTTGGGCAAAGGCTTGGATATATAAATGTATATTCTGGCAAGAGCATGACATTCTTCAGATTTATACGACTGGCAGTCTAAGTTAACAAACACTAAATTGTCAAGCAGCGTGTTTTTAGTTTTTAACTAATTTGTTTATTATTCTTATTGGCGATTTGGATCTACCAGAACTACGCAGGCAATGTTATTTTGTAAAATTCCCAGTTAATTTAAGTTTTTCAGCATACTGAGTGCTGAAGCTTTAAGCTCCATAACTCAATTTATCTGAATCGGGTTTTGAAGTGGCATACCCCTAAATGATTCTTGCGCAATTCTCTAAAAAACTGCATTCAAATTCAGACATTTATTTTTTGTTAATATTTTTGTAATTTTTCTGATGTTGCAGAAATTCAAAAAAATGACAAAATGTCCTAAAGCTGAAGATCTAAACTTTATAACTCAACTTATCTTAATCGGATTTTGAAGTGGCATACCTCTAAATGTTTGTGGTGCAATTATCTAAAAAACTGCATTCAAATTTAAAAATTTATTTTTTTTACATTTTTTTGTAATTTTTTTGATCTCATGATGATGTAGAAATTCAAAAACATTAAGAAATGTCCCAAGGCTGAAGTTCTAAGCTCCATAACTCAACTTATCTTAATCGGATTTTGAAGTGGCATACCTCTAAATGTTTGTGGTACAATTATCTAAAAAACTGCATTAAAATTTAAAAATTTATTTTTTTTACATTTTTTTGTAATTTTTTGATGTGATGATGTAGAAATTCAAAAAAATTAGGTAATGTCCTAAGGCTGAAGTTCTAAACTCCATAACTCAACTTATCTTAGTCGGATTTTGAAGTGGCATACCTCTAAATATTTCTGGCGCAATTCTCTAAAAATCTGCATTCAAATTTAAAAATTAATTTTTTTTGTAATTTTTTTTAAATTTTTTTGATGTATGATGTTGTAGAAATTCAAGATTATCAATAAATGCCCCAAGGCTGAATTTCTAAACTCCATAACTCAACTTATCTGAATCGGATTTTGAAGTGGCATACCTCTAAATGTTTCTGGCGCAATTCTCTAAAAATCTGCATTCAAATTTAGAAATATATTTTTTTTCAATTTTTTTGTCATTTTTCTGATGTATTATGTTGTCGTAATTCAGAAATTTCCCAAGACTGAAGTTCAAAACTTCATAACTCAACTTATCTTGATCGGATTTTGAAGTGGCATACCTCTAAATGTTTCTGGCGCAATTCTCTAAAAAACTGCATTCAAATTTAGAAATTAATTTTTTTTGAAATTTTTTTGTAATTTTTCTGATGTATGATGTAGAAATTCAAGATTATTAATAAATGCCCTAAGGCTGAATTTCTAAACTCCATAACTCAACTTATCTGAATCGGATTTTGAAGTGGCATACCTCAAAATGATTCTGACGCAATTCTCTAAAAAACTGCATTCAAATTTAGAAATTTATTTTTTGTTAATTTTTTTGTAATTTTTCTGAGTTGATTATGTTGTAGAAATTAAAAAAAATGAAAAAATGTCCTAAAGCTGAAGTTCTATACTCCATAACTCAACTTATCTTAGTCGGATTTTGAAGTGGCATACCTCAAAATGATTCTGACGCAATTCTCTAAAAAACTGCATTCAAATTTAGAAATTTATTTTTTGTTAATTTTTTTGTAATTTTTCTGAGTTGATTATGTTGTAGAAATTAAAAAAAATGAAAAAATGTCCTAAAGCTGAAGTTCTATACTCCATAACTCAACTTATCTTAGTCGGATTTTGAAGTGGCATACCTCTAAATATTTCTTGCGCAATTCTCTAAAAGTCTGCATTTAAATTTAGAAATTCATTTTTTTATAATTTTTTTTTGTAATTTTTCTGATTTATGATTTTGTAGAAATTAAAAAAAAATGAAAAAATGACCCAAGGCTGAAGTTCTATATTCCATAACTCAACTTATCTTAGTCGGATTTTGAAGTGGCATACCTCTAAATATTTCTTGCGCAATTCTCTAAAAGTCTGCATTTAAATTTAGAAATTCATTTTTTTATAATTTTTTTGTAATTTTTCTGATGTATGATGTTGTAGAAATTCAAGTTTATCAATAAATGCCCCAAGGCTGAATTTCTAAACTCCATAACTCAATTTATCTGAATCAGATTTTGAAGTGGCATACCTCTAAATATTTCTGGCGCAATTCTCTAAAAATCTGCATTCAAATTTAGAAAATTATTTTTTTTTAATTTTTTTGTAATTTTTCTGATCCATGATATTGTAGAAAGTCAAAAAATTAAAAAATGTCCCAAGGCCGAAGTTCTATACTCCATAACTCAACTTATCTTAGTCGGATTTTGAAGTGGCATACCTCTAAATGTTTCTGGCGCAATTCTCTAAAAGTCTGCATTCAAATTTGGAAAATTAATTTTTTTTTGAAATTTTTTTGTAATTTTTCTGAGTTGATTATGTTGTAGAAATTAAAAAAAATGAAAAAATGTCCTAAAGCTGAAGTTCTAAACTCCATAACTCAACTTATCTTAGTCGGATTTTGAAGTGGCATACCTCTAAATATTTCTGGCGCAATTCTCTAAAAATCTGCATTCAAATTTAGAAATTATTTTTTTTGTGTAATTTTTCTGATGTATGATGCAAGGAAGTATGATGAAGATTCGTTGAGAACTATCTTTTTTTTCCAAATGTTGCCCACAAACCGCCCAAAACTGTCACGCCCACACTTTTGGAAAATGTGATATTGTTTTATTTTTTATATACCATTAAAATTTCTATAAATTTGCCAAAATCTTTTTTTAGTTGACAGTTCGGCATGCAATTGAGAAAACTATGGTTTCAAAATAATCATGACTTTTAATGCGCCCGAAAAGTCTCCAAAAGTGTGCCCATACATCTCCGGTTCAGAAAATCTAAGCTCGCGCGACAAAAGACTTATCGATAGGCAGGCCGTGTGTGCCACCAGCTGTTAAATTTAAATTCCTGTAAAGAGCCCGCCACTTCGATCGCTTTCACGGATCAGATTAGTCGTTGTCTGGATATTAGCAAGCAAGGTAATGGTCGCGCAGCAGTGTCGTGTGTTTTTTGCTCGGGCGCTGAGAAGTGTTTTGAAAAAGTTTTTGAAAGCCAGAGGAAGATCTGCAATGGGTCAATGAGTCATCCCATTGATTATGCAAATCTGTCCGGTGTTGCGGCAAATCTTTACTTAAGGAAGATGACTCGCGGGGAAATTAAGATGTTTTATTAGTTACTGCGAATGAATCATGTGTAATGCAGATCTGAAACCGCAGTTGCAAAGTGATCTGTGCTCGACTTCAACCCACACAACAAAAACATAAGCAGTGGAAAACAAGTTTTAAAACATTTAACGAACCAAGGTTAAGAAACTGCAGAAAACGGCGCCCACGGCGCAATCGAAAAAAATTAAAAAAAAAGCTTTGTTTTAATGACGCCAGAACAGCTAATAAATTGATTGAATTGCATTTGACAAATGATTAATTGGGAATGTACATATACGCGACCTGTGACGTCATCTAAATTTTTAAAAATGATTTCTAAATGCCTGGTGGGCAACTAACAAACGTGCCCTAAAAGGCAACGCCCGCGGTGTCCACTTTTCTGTGAAGTGCTCGGATTGTGATAACATTTCCAAAAACGAAGTAAACGAAATATATACACCGCTATTGTTCTTGCTGACCAGGCGAGTTCAGCAAATGTCGTGTAAGCCGAGCCGATGGAGGCCCTTGTTTACCCAACTCGGAACTGGGTTGGGGACAGTTTCCTCCAAGCACTGGCATTTGCATCGAAATTAGGCGCACAGAGCTTCCGTTCCCCTCCAGAAGCGTTTAATATGCGTTTTTTATTGCCAATTACAATTAAGTTATCCATCGATTAGGCGTTATGCGGCATGTTAGGACCCTCCTCCTCCAAAACCCGCGCTCCAGCCTATTCACGAATGCATGAACCGCGCGACTGGATCATTCGCTCGCTGATTTGGCTCCGCCCATCTAATCTTTGTATTCGCTTTTTGCTGTTCGTGGGGCACAAGGGCGTAGATGCAGAGGGGCCAAAACGCTTGAACCGATTGGTAAATGGTGATTCCTTCAGTTCAGGAGCCCATCCATCTAGCATACGAATTAGTTTTCGTTTGCTTTCCTGAGTTGATCTCACACATGTACTATGTACCATGTACGTCCGAGTGTGTTTAATTAAATTATTTGAAATTACTGAATCGTGCGGAGCCGAGACTCCGGGCCTCCCCACTCCGGACACCCCTCCCAAATCTTTTGTTGTGCAAACGATGTGGGCCAGTCAATTGTTTATGAAGTGCACAGTGGGTATATAGAGCACCGATCTCTCTATGTGGCAGGGGTATCCACTTTCGTGTGGATATTGCCCATGTGTCTGTGGGCTGTTCGCTTAAACATTTTTTTCGAATACAACTAAATTCTGCCGCTGTTGTTTTTTCGCGGATGCTTCACAAACTCACTTCACCATGAAGTCAGCTCCCGTCTCCCGTTCCCCTCCGTCTGTCTCCAAATCTTTGGACCCATCTCCGCACGCATCCATCTTAATTATGACTTTTTTACGATGACAATTTCGGGCTGAGCTTTGCAAAGTTGATTACACAAAAAACTTCAGCTGTGGACTGCTGTCCCCAATCACGATCGCTGTTTTTCTGCCCCTCCCGAGTATTTTCAAGGAATTTCAGTTTCTGGCTATTTCCCTTGTTTTTCCAGCCTCCAATTCAAGTGTAAACACAGCGGAATGATCGTCTGTTGTTCATTAAGTGCAGAAAGAGCATTAAATTAAGCAAACAAAATCTTCCGTTGCCAATAAACGGACTTTATGGACAAGTAAATTAGTTTATAGTATACCCAAATCGCCCACTCCACGAAATTCTATAAGGTCACGATATGGCCGAAATTTTGCCACTCCATTCGTCTTGGCACGTATACTACATGATAAACAAGAGAAAAATAATATTAATATTCCTCGACATTTGCTTGGCTCCAGAACAACTATAATTATCTGCACTGTTTCGTATCCAGCAGTCGGTGTCGCAAATCCCCCTTCCTTCCAACATTTTTCCAGACTATCACTCCACCACCCCCCCTCCCCTCTCTTCCGGCGAGATGCCGGATGGGGCGCTGTTGGGTCTGACTTGGATGTAGCGAGGGGGAGAAGAGAAAGCGAGGCAGAAGTTTAATGTACCCTTTTATGGACGGACACAAGGAATTATTTCTGCACATTATTTGAGGCATGTCGATTGCGGCTGAAGCTGTGAAACTTCTCAATTGGATATATTTGCTTGGTTTGAGTAATTCCGATTTTCCACATTTCTGCCAAGAGTTGTGCAATTCTTCCGTTAAATGTTATTTGCTTGCTTGTTGTTTTTCCGAGCAAACCTGATCAACAGGTTTTCTTTTGGCAGTCTCCAAGTGCATTCCAGATCCCGAAGGCTGCGAAGAATCGCTTCCCGGCTAACTCGGCTCACTCTAAAGTTTCATTACGCCACTCTGTCAACTGTCGCCTAAGACTTTGGGCCTGAGCTGGGCAAACAATAAAGTTGTTTGTCAATTGGTTTTACAAATAGCCTAGTGGCCAAATACACAGCACAAACAGAGGGCCAACAGTGGGCCAATTAGAGAAGATGATTGTGCGATTCGTTTATCTTTTTATCTTATCAGGCTGAACTTGCCACCTGGGGGGGTCATTTACAAAGCCCAATTTGTATGCCAGGCAAAAAGATTTCGACGAGAAGCCGCTTTCAACGGATGGGTCGGGTACGGGTTTCCTGATTGCCCATTCTTCGGCTGTTGATAAATAATCAGAAGTGGCGTATTCAAATTGGCCAGGTCTCGAGTGTGATTAGCAGATTTCTCACACATTTCAAGTATCAAAGCGGTCAGCACAGAAAAGTGGAAGCGAGAATACCCCAGAAGAAGCCGCCTTGAAATTTACGAACAAAGCCGCCTATAAATCTCGCGATTTCAGCGCTCCCATTGCCTGAGCCGCCCCCAGGCTCCATTGGAGCTCCATCAAGGGCTATCAAAGCGTGGAGCGCAGCAAATTGATTGCTAATTGATACTGATGTGCCGATTATTTTATGATTATTCTTTATGATCGTTAGACGTTGATCCCCGCACCAAACCTGATTCAGATTCAGATTTAGTGGATTACTCCGGCCGCGGCCACTGCTGGTACTTTGGGGTCTTGTCTTCGCTTGGAATGTTATAATTTAATAACTACATGGGGGAGCAAATTAAGACCAAGTTCGGTACCAGAGAAACCACTTAAGACGCTTTCTTTAAGTGCCCCAAAACGGAGATTTGGCAGTGAAGAAACCTGTAGGGCAGCTTTTTGCTCCCGCTCCATTCCAGCCTCATGTCCACTCCATGTGAAAACCATCGTAGCATGAAGCGATGTCAAATGCCGTTTTTTGAGAGCGTCCAATCCCAACCCATTGTTTTTGACTTCCAAGGCCTTTAGGTCTAGTGGGGTCACAAAGTTGGCTGAGTGAGCAATGCGGGTTCTTGCTTCATTTCGAGCTTACGTTACTCATTCGACGCGTGGGGGTAATTATCTGAAGTCCAGCCCACATAGACATTGCTCATCCGCTCCGTGGCTGCTCTCTCTTCGCAGACCACAGCGATGGACTTTAACAACTGCGGCTTCATTGATCCGCAGGCCCAGTTGGCTGGAGCTTTGGACAAGCAGGACATTCGAGAGTTCGTTGCTGCCCTAGACAACGGTGCCCTGGCCGATCTGCAGGACAACCGCCATACCAGCATCTACGAGAAGGCACTTTCCACAGCAGGTTGTCGGGAATTCATAGAGGCCTGCATTGACCACGGCAGCCAGGTGAACCACGTGAGTAAAGCATCGAGGAGCAGAGGTCGGAAGCCAGCTAACCACAGTTTGTCTCCACAGATCAACCAGAAGCTGGACAAGGCTGCAGTCAGCTATGCGGCCGACTCGAGGGATCCAGGGAACCTGGCGGCGCTCCTTAAGTACCGCCCCGGAAAACAAGTCCAGGTTGACAGAAAATATGGGCAACTCACTCCACTCAACTCACTGGCCAAAAATCTCACGGAGGAAAACGCCTCAGAGGTGTACGCCTGCATGCAACTCCTGCTGGACTACGGCGCCTCGCCGAACATCGTGGACCAGGGCGAGTTCACACCCTTGCACCATGTGCTGAGGAAGAGCAAGGTGAAGGCTGGGAAGCAGCAACTAATTCAGCTCTTTCTGGACCAGCCGGAGTTGGACATCGATAGTTACCGAAACGGAGAGGTGCGCCGATTGCTGCAGGCGCAATTTCCGGAGCTTAAGCTCCCGGAGGAGCGTCAAACCGGACCGGAGATTGCCATTCAGACCCTCCAAAGGACTCTACGCGACGGAGACGAATCACTGTTTGAGCAGCAGTTCGCTGAGTACCTGCAGAATCTCAAAGGTGGGGCGGATAACCAACTTAACGCCCACCAGGAGGAATACTTTGGTCTGCTGCAGGAGAGCATCAAGAGGGGCAGGCAGCGAGCCTTCGAAGTCATTTTGTCCACTGGCATGGACATCAACTCGAGACCAGGCAGAGCCAACGAGGCCAATCTCGTAGAGACGGCCGTGATATACGGTAACTGGCAGGCCTTGGAGCGACTGCTGAAGGAGCCAAGCCTGCGCCTTACTGCAGAGTCCAAGCTACTAAATGCAGTGATGGGTCGTTTGGTTGAGCCGCCATTCGATGGCTTCAACCACCAGCGCTGCTTTGAGTTGCTCATTAAGAGCGATCGCGTAGACATCAACGAAGCCGATGCCGGCGGCCTGGTGCCCCTGTTCTTTGCAGTGAGGTACCGAAACACGAGTGCCATGCTGGAGCTCCTGAAGCACGGTGCCTACATTGGTTCGAAGAGCGCATTTGGGACACTTCCCATCAAGGACATGCCACCCGAGGTTCTCGAAGAGCACTTTGACTCTTGCATCACAACGAACGGAGAGAGGCCTGGTGAGCAGAACTATGAGATCATCATCGATTATAAGAACTTAATGCGCCAGGAGAGAAACTCGGGAGTGGAAAAGCTTGGCGCTACTTTCGTCAAGCTGCACGACGAAATGGCCCCAATCGCGTTCATCGCCGAGTCGAAGGAGATGCGCCACCTGCTCCAGCACCCGCTGATCTCGAGCTTCCTATTCCTCAAGTGGCACCGACTTTCCGTGATCTTCTACTTGAACTTCCTGATATACTCGCTTTTTACCGCCTCCATAATTACTTACACGCTCCTCAAGTTCCACGAAAGCGATCAGAGGGCTCTTACTGCATTTTTCGGATTGCTCTCCTGGCTGGGAATCAGCTACCTCATAATACGGGAGAGCATCCAGTGGATAATTTCTCCAGTTCGTTACTTTTGGTCCATAACAAATATCATGGAGTTAGCCCTCATCACACTATCTATCTTTACCTGCATGGAATCCAACTTTGACAAGGAGACGCAGCGCGTCTTGGCCGTATCCAGCATCCTACTAGTCTCCATGGAGTTTTGCCTACTAGTGGGCTCCCTGCCAGTGCTCTCGATTTCGACGCACATGCTGATGCTGCGAGAAGTCTCCAACAGCTTCCTAAAGAGCTTCACCCTCTACTCGATCTTCGTGCTCACCTTCAGTCTGTGCTTCTATATCCTCTTCGGGAAGTCAGTGGAGAAAGACCAGTTAAACAGCGCCACGCCGGCTCCCGATCTGGAGGAGAAAGAAAACGACGACTTCAACACATTCACCAAGCCTATCGAGGCCTTGATCAAGACCATTGTGATGCTGACAGGCGAGTTTGACGCCGGAAGCATCAAGTTCACCAGTATCTACACCTACCTGATTTTCCTGCTCTTCGTGTTCTTTATGACGATAGTGCTGTTCAACCTTTTGAACGGTCTTGCCGTGAACGACACCCAAGTAAGTCCGTCGCCAGTCGTTTTATTTCCCTTGCTAATCCCATTTGCGCCGTTTTTTAGGTAATTAAGGCTCAGGCGGAACTGAACGGATCCATTTGCAGAACCAATGTCCTTAGTCGATATGAGCAGGTCCTCACTGGCCACGGACGCGCTGGGTTTCTGTTGGGCAACCATTTCTTCCGCAGCATCAGCCAACGTTTGATGAACATCTACCCGAACTACTTAAGTCTGCGTCAGATTTCCGTGATGCCGAACGATGGGAACAAGGTGCTTATTCCTATGAGCGATCCCTTCGAAATGAGGACCCTTAAGGGCAAGGAGCAGGCTAGCTTTCAGCCACTGCCCCTGAGTGCGGCAGCGCCCCAGAAGAAGCTGCTGGATCCACCGCTTAGACTCCTGCCCTGCTGCTGCTCCATGCTCACCGGAAAGTGCTCCCAGATGAGCGGCCGGGTGGTCAAACGGGCGCTCGAGGTAATCGATCAGAAGAACACAGCGGAGCAGAAGCGGAAACAGGAACAGGTCAACGACAGTCGACTGAGGCTGATCGAGTCCAAACTGGAGCAATTATTACAGCTGGTCCAGGAACGGAAGTGATGGAGCATGTATTTTGATAGCCTTAGTGTTCTTGAGACTAATAGACCTCTTAGACCGATTTGCATTTAAACTGCAGTTTAAAGAGCCAAGTTAGTCGGAAATTGTTTTTATTAACATACGAGTAATGAAATTGAACAAAACCCTTAATAATTGTCAGTAAGTAAGTAGTATATAATGGTTATATAGACAGTAAATATTGTATAAACGAATATCATTACTGTACCATTTGTACCCGAGTAAATATTTAATTTCAAATGTTAGATGTACGCTTTTTAGAGTTTTCATTTAGTTATTCGCTTTACTTAATCTTCTTTTATTTTGATTTGATATGATTCGGTTCAAAATGTGTGTTAGTCACATATTATGGTTAATGGGCTCTTAATCTTTACCTTTTTGTCTTCCTTGTCTATCATAATTCATAATTCTTTTATTTAAGTCAGAGCTGAACTGAGCGTAGCGGACCAAATCGAATTACACGGGTGTAAAGAGCTAACGAGGCAATCAATGGCAATGGAAAACCGACTGGAAATTTATGCAAACGGCCATGTGCGGTCATAATTTGTTAACAATTTTCAGCCTAATTATTTTTCCTTTATGATTCCGACACCAACGGATAAGAAGCTTAAGGCCGTTCTAATGGGCTGAGTGAAGCGCAGGCATTGATTAAGCTAAGCTAGAATACAAATTACTACTAGGGTTTAGTTTGGTTACTCGACTTACTTCGATTACGCTGTTGATTAGCTGCTGCTGTTACTGTTAGAGGACTAGGACTAGGACTAGGACTAGGACTAGGACCTTTAAAGCGGCAAATCAAAATAATTGACTTAGTTCTCGGAGCGTTTTGGACAATCGTACGACTTGTTATTCGGTTTAAGTGGTATCTTTCGTCTTACTTTGCTGCTGGTAGCGTGGCCGATGAAACATTAACTGCTATCGCTCGTATATACTCGTACTTTAATCTCAACAATATATATAATATATATATAAATAAAATCGTGTATTCTGTAAGGCATGCCTAATTAAACCAGCCGTATTGCTAACTATAGGTATATACTTGTGTACTTCGTGTGACTTTGCATCCTGCATCCACCCATCCCTCCCAAGTCCGGGAGTTCGTCCTAATGTCCTGTCTGTGTTGCGTGAGCTCTAAATGCATAGGATTCGGTTCTGTCTTCGCCTCCAATTCAGGTTCGCTTGCTTCGTATTGCTATTGAGTGACTTGAGTGGGAGCAAAGCGTCATCCATCTACTGCGGTTACGAGTACGATTCCATAATATCTAAGTTAGGTTTGTCCTTGTATTCCCAGATTCTGTGTGAGTGGCCTGCCTGTTGCTATTTTGAGTATTGGTTTCGGTAACGATGACTCGAACTTGCTTCTCTTTTATTGAATATGCATCATTCTTTTTATTGTCGTTATACTCTATGACTAATTTAAACATCCCACATCATAGCATCGATCCGACTGGTCTCGCCTCGCTCTGTAATCTGGTTAATCGATTTTTGTTGAGGAAAACTAAAATAAAAGCATTTCTCTTTTTTGAGTTTTTCGTTTTTTTCCTGGTTGGATGAGGTTCTATTGCTATTTCGTTACCATTATCATAATCGTTTTTCGTTTATGTACAATCGAATACGAGTACGTACCAATATTAAATATCACTTAATTGACGAGTGTTTGGTTTCTGTCTGTTTTTGGTTTTGTTTCCTTGTTAACAATTCTAATTAAAATTATGACCTTATTTTTTGTATTTTCTGTGTAAAAATTGCAGTTAAAATCACAATTAAGTTGTTGTGTGTTCATTTGGTTGTTTGTTTCTGGAAAAAACGTTTTAGTTGGTACCATAGAATTTCAACTTACTATCAATCGCTGTCTGATTGTCTGTTGTTAAGTTATGAAAGTAGAGTAAGAGTAGCAAAGTGCCCTGAATGGCGCGGGGGTGCATAAGTTATTCGGGATTTTTTAATATTTTCCCACTCGGAGTGTACGTTATTAACTTCTTAACTCTTTTTCTGTTCGATGTTTTAACTTAATGCGATCACAATGGAGACTTAAAAGAGAGAACAACACTTAAAAAGTAACAAAACAAGGCGAGTTTCTTGGAAACTTGGCCCGACCTAACCATTCTTAGTCGTACAATAAAGTGAGTGTAAATTGTAAATTATTTTGCTAAAATAGAGTTCTTGTGGAAGCTTGTTGGTTGTTCATTGTATAGGAGACCAAAATTGTTGCGTCCTGCTTTTGATTTGCTTCTTTCGACTGTACTTATCGAAAATAAACTAAAACCCTTCACCTTCGTAAACTTCTTCTGACTGGTACTTATGTGGACTGCTGATTGAATTCGGGTTGATTCGGATCTCGATAGAGTGCAGTGTAGTGGGTAAATCCCGACTGGGATTAGGATTGATTTAAATATGTGAGTGCGCTGAGTGCAAAATCACTTGACATTGTTTTGGCTTAGTTATTACCAAAGAGCAATATAATCTCTAAGATGCGTAACGGTCGGTCATACATAGGTTTTTCGCAAAAAAAGTGTATGGCGTTACGGAAATTTATATTCAGATGTCTTTGTCATTACCGTTGGATGTACAAGAGAAGGGGCGATGTGGATGGGGAAGTAGCCAAAAGATATGTACAATACAATATAATAATAATCAAATCTACTAATACTTCGCTTTTGTACTTCGAACAATCGGTAATGGATAATATTTGCTATCGTAATCGCATTTGTAATCGGCAATTTTTGCGCTATCGTAACGAAAAACCTTTATAAATATTTCAATAAATTGTATCTAACTAACGTCATATGTCCGTAACTATAGTATTAGCTCTTTAATTTAAAATACTTCCTTTGGCATATGTACAAAATGTATTTAGATACTATTCACATATACCTTCCGTATATGCAGGTCGATAATTACGAAAACAAACACTACAGTTATGAGCCTAGATCTAACCGCGATAGTTGGTTACACATGTAATGTATGCATGTGATGCAAACCTCTACGTATTGTATAGTTCAAAACAACCTTCGAAAATGTGGCAGAAAGTTGGCCCACGGCAGGAGAAGAGAAGGCCGTGCACAACACCTTGCCTTCATTGTCTCACTTGTGGGTCAGGCATTCTGACTACAACTAAATCGGGCAGTAAACTACCGACAAATTTGCTCTTCCTCGACTCTGATTGTGACATTAACCATGATGATGGCGATTCCGACTCATTCGGATTTTTGATTAGTTTCGAGTACTACGACGGTTTAATGCACGTTCTTGTTAACATAGTTAATATTGATTTCCTCCTTAAACTGATATTGCATGTATAAATTTGAATAGCTTCGTATCTGTATATGTGTATATATGTATATCGTATAAAGCGATTAATATATAACTATATAGGTAATCGACTATGATAACAAAGGGGCGGGCCCCATGCCTAAGCCTAAGAAACTACGAGTTCTGACACAAATGCACACAGGAATCGGCACAGAATACGCACTCAGACCGAAGGTTGTCAGCTTGTACGCCGTGCCGATGGAGCGGCTGCCGATGCCGCCGACGACGACGAGGAGGACGAGCAACTCCTGATGCTGCTGGTGGTGCTGCTACTGCTGCGGCTGCCACGGCTGGAGCGTTTCTCCGATTCCCGCAGGGGAGCATTGACCGGAGGTCATCTCTGTCTGTCTGGAAGTGATTCGTACTGCGCTGTCTCCTCCTGTCCATTCACTTGGTCATCGGTGGCTTTCTCAGGATTGTAGTCGTAAAACACCTGCGATGTATCGCCCTGGACATTCACATCGATTGGCGCACCCACATCATCAATCGGTGCTGAGCTGAAATCGCCGCGTGGCGGGTCCTTCGGACTGTCCACCATTATCTGCACTGTGGGCATCGCGCAAGTGTCCATCGAGCTCTCTACTGAGCCCGTTGTGATGCGTATCTGAGGTGGCGGCTGCTTGCCAAGCATGTCCAGGCCAATACCAAAACCATTTCCGTTGCGGGACGAGGACGGGCTGCTCTCATCCTCCTCCTTGTACTCTTCACTCTCGCGGTGTACCAGTACGTGGACCAGGGTTGCGTTGTCCGGACGCAGGCTCAGCGAGTGCGGATGCGTCTGCTGCTCCGGCGACGGCCTGGTGACGATCACCTCGGGGGCTGGCGCCTCAGCTGGAAAGGGGCAAGGGGGACTTTAGTGGGCTGCTCGGTCGGAAGAAGGCAAGTACAATTCACACATACAGACAAAAGCGTTCTTGTTTACTCTTAAAGCGCTTTGTGCTGACAAACCTCTTTCTAGGGGCGGTTTCTTGCGAATGAAACTAGAGGCGCGCTTACGTGAAGGAGCCGACCCACCCCCCACCGCCTGGTGTCGGTCGCTGTCGGAGGCGGAGGTGGCTGCTGGGCCACACCCAGTGGCTGGGGCGGTGGCGGCGGCGGTGGAGGAGGTCGTGCCGGAGGTGGAGGCGGAGGTTGAGGTGGTGTTGGTCGTGTTGTTCATTGCGGCTGTCGTGGGTGAAATGTACGCATTAGTGACAGGCAGTCGTGGTGGCACAACGCACAAGTACGAAGGTTGTGTGGACAGATAGGTAGGTCAGATAGACGAATAGACGAATAGATATAGGTATAGAGCGATCGCAGAGAGTAACAGTTGATGACTCAAGAACATAAGCTTATAACTAGAAATGCAAATTACTGTTTTCGATGGAATGCATCTTAATGGAGGTAGCCACAAAAGTGAGGTTGATGCTAACTGAGGTTCAGAGAGTGGTGCAGATGTGGTTCGAGGTGCAGGCCTTTCGGTCAGTGGCTTTGTACAGCGAGTATATACAAATAGCGCAAGAGTCGTGAATGGTCTAATAAGTGATGGTTGTGGTGGTAATGTGGGTAATTAGGTCGAGTGGAAAGTGGGTGGGTGAATAGGCACTTGTCAATAATTACTTTTTCTATGTACTGAAGGTGAGGTTAAGCTGTCATCGACAGCATCCTGATGACGCAAAAAGAAATTATAAAAGCTTCGGCGACGACTTGCTCTAGGCGCTTCCACAAAAATGCTACCGCTAATAATAGTAATAGTTTAGTAGTTGGAATAACAGTAACAATCATAAGCATAAATTTCAGTTATCTGGATGTAGAATGTTAGGTTTAGGTCAGTTCACATATAAAAGTCGAGATTGTTTCGTTTCAACGATAGCTGCAATTTTTTGACGAAATAACAAAAGAAATAGGGAAAGCTTTTAACACTAAAGAAGCTGTACATCATTATCAATGGCGATGAAATCGATTTGGTATGAGATTTAGTCTTAGAGTTCCAATTACCTGGTGATATGTTCGTTACGCTACATTTAAACTAAATGAGAGTACTTATAGTATAGATAGCCAAACTATCTTAACGATCTATATAAGGGCAAGCAACCAATCAAAATTAAATCAAATGGCGCATTCACGTGTTCATCGCAAATTAATTTTGGCGAGACAAGTAAGGTCGGAATGGGTGGATTTACGGATTGGATTCAAAGGAAAAGCCGCTACTTACAAATGATCTTAATACTATTGTTATAGGAAGTTTTCAATTATTTTAAAACTGAAATTACTGTGGGTCTTGTTCTAATATTTGTTGAATAATAGTTGAAAAGAGTTGCTGTAGAGAGCTTCTGACTGCAAATGAGTTTTTGACAGGCTGCTTTCGTTCGCAGAAATGAGCTGAGTCGAGTTGAAGGTCGAGTTTGGATGGAGATACTAAATAGAGTAAGTACGATATAAAGTTCGAATGATTCGAGTACTGGATAGCTGGTACTGTAAATACATATACTTAATCTATCTGAATATACAAGGATTGTGGATGATTTATAGTCGAGAACTTAAAACGAAGTTGGTAAGATTGCTTGTTGCTTTTGTTTAATACTGCTATTGATGTTGTCTGTTGTAAGATTTAAGATTGTACGTAAGTAGTAGGTTATAGATTGCCAGCTAAGCTAAGCAGCTGATGAATGGGAGATTGCCTTTACCTAGGTAATTCAAGCCACTAGGCTGCGAGCCACTTCTGAGAACGGCAGTGACCATGTCTGCGAGCAGGGACTCATAGTTTAGGGAGATACAAGAGGATTTGCTAGAAATAGGGCTTAAGTTCATATACACTGTGGACACACAAAACGTTAATTTATCGATGCAGATCGACGGTTATGTTCTTGTTGCATGTGGCATGAGCATGGAAAGCCTTTCGTTTTCGTCTAAAAATTGCATTTCAAATTCATCGCAGCCATGAAACATAAACATACATGGAATGGCTACGTGTCAGTATGTGTGTTTTTGTAGTGTGTGTCATGAGTCGGTGTGGCTGTTGTGAGTAAGTGTTAAGGGTGCTGCTGGATAACTACCGTTTGCCCAGCTCGTCGTTTTGCTGTTTGATATCCTTGACAACTTCGTCGGCACCTGAGACGAGCATCAGAGGCAGATTCAACCAGGGCCCAGCTAGTTCGCTGAGATCGGATGCATCCGAGGCACGCGACGATTTTCGAGACGAGGCTCGACTGGAGCAGGCGGTGCCACGACGACTCACCTGCGAAGAATCGCATTTAAGCACATTCATGAGGTCCAATGAATATCACTGCACTCACCTGGAGATGGAAGAAATTTAGGGCAGAAAGTTTCGATTGCCATCCGCCGGGGCTGGAGGTTTGAGTGGCGCTGTCCCCAGAATTGGAGCGTTCCTTTTCCCGCTTGCGCCTGTGAAGAGACACCACAGGATTAGAAACCCGCAGGAATCAGATAGGGAGTTCGCCGGAGAATGCTAAAGTGAGATAATGGGCTGGTGTGGTAAATGTAGTACCGCAAATATTCCTTCCAGCCCGTTTGAATGGTCTTGGCCGCCTTTTCCTGGCGTTTCCAGATCCGCGTCGACGAAACAATTTCCAATTCTTTGCGCGTTGGAAACTGTTTCTTGAACTTGACATCCATTTGTTCCTGCAACTGTTTGAAGTTATCGGTCTCCTCGACATGACCTAGCACGTGCTTAACCAGCGCGTGCAAAATGTCGAGACAGTGTATTTTATTACCCTTAGAAATGGGCAGATTAAATGACACTAAAGCGACATTATTGGGCTTCGAGATGCCCAATGGTGGATCGAGAGAGGCAATAAAATCGGACAGTTGCGAGAAGTGTATAAATTGGGTGGCATGTGGATCGTATCTGCAAGTAAATCAGATGGAATAGTCAGCAGTGCTCTTTAAATAGTTTGCCAGGCAGCTTTTGGCGAGATCCTACGGCTAGGCCTACCGTCAGGAAGAAAACACCTACTTTGACCAGCGAATGTAAAACATTTCCAAATCGTCCTCGACGATGCCGATCTCCTCTTCCTGGTGCGCCTGATTGAAGTTTTCCAGGATAATGGCAATGTACATGTTGATCACTATCATATAGCTGATGATGATGAAGCTCGTAAAGTAGGTAATTGCTAGCAGCGGGTGGCCGCAGTTTCCGTTCGTCTGCCCATGGATAAATGGGTCGCAGTCGGGCGGCTGTATCATCAGGGACTCAAGAACGTCGTTCCACCCGGCTGAGGTCATCAGCCGGAACAGCAACTGCATGCTGCGCCCGAAGGTCTGGAAGTTTACCATGTCATCGAGGGCGCCTTGGAGCTTGACATGTCCGAACAGCGACATGCCCAGAATGGCGTAGATAAAGGTGATCAGTCCCAGCAGAGCTCCGATGTTGAAGAGAGCGGGCAGCGATACTACGAGAGCGAATAGCAGCTTCCTGATCCCCTTGGCGGCCTTGATTAACCTCAAGATACGCCCAATGCGGAAGACGCGAACCACCCGAAGTAACGTCGGACTAATGGGCAGGTCTATCATGATGTCTTCCATCAGAATTCCGAAGATGGAGGCCAGCACCAGAAGGAAGTCGAACACGTTCCATGGCACTGTGAAGTAGTGGTAGCGCAGACCGACTATCTTCACAATGGCTTCTGCAGAAAGAAGATAATTTAAATAGATCAATATATATGAATATAGGAAACTATTTTAGCCGCTTACCTAGACCAAATACTGTGGTAAAAAAGGCATTGCTCACTTCCAGAATGAAAAAGACTGCATGCGGCTGATCATAGTGCTCGATGCCCATTGTAAGCATATTTAGGAAAATCAGTACAAAGATCGCGATCTCGAACCTGCACATCACAAAAGTGGATTATGATTAGAATTTTGTTTGACACTATTGGACATCGGTCTAGCCGAACTCACGGTGCTTAAAGAAATTCAGAAAGACGGGGATTATATACAGGCATTTCGAGGAGCACCATTATAGGTAGTAGTGGGTATAGTAAACTAGTTCTAATGCTAACTATGTTTATCATGCTGGTTGTACACCGAAGGGGCGAGTTTTAAAATAGTCGGATCTAGAGGCCAAAGGACTGCTACTTATCGGATAGATAGAGCATGCCTAGAGTGCGGAGGGTCTGATATTTCGAATAATATCTAGTTCAGTATCATAGCAAAATGTGCTCTACAAAACTTCAAGGAGTATGCATGTACATATGGGATACACATCTTAAAAATACAGAAGATAGAGGCATTTTTGACGGTGCTTGCTTGAGACAAGCACCGGTTTTGACCAAAAATGTCGGGAATTTCAAGTGTTTAAATGAATTTTATCACCAAATCAGAAACATTCTATAGATGTGTTGTGGGCCTAACCTAAGCAACTAGTCTTGAGCATACAATTTGGTACAAAAGTTCAAGAAGAGATCATAGAGGACAGAGTCAGACTAATAGTAAGTACAAACTATAAGTAGATATACGTAATTTGCTGGTCTTAGATTGAGATTGGTTGGATCAATGGTTGATTGACGGGTTTGTTTACCTTCTCGAATTGGATAAATCATAAAACATAGCTAAAAAATGATTTATAGGTCGCTTAATAACTTTCTGTGGTTTCTTTCGTCCCAATTTTTTCATAGCCGTGTAATAGTGTTTTTGAGATTCGGTGAGAAACATTTCCAACACTCCTCCTTCATACTATAAAAGTGATGAGAATAAAATGAACATTTAATTATATATATACAATCCACAGTTATGTAACACACTAAGCGATATGCAAGCGACATTATTCAATGAACAACTCGTCACAACATAGCAACACAATAACACGGATAAATGTACACATAATGACGGCGATTCGAACGGAATACAGCAATTCAAATCAAAGATGGATCACAGATGGTTTGCGTTTGTACAGGTGATGTAAGTGTGGATGCAACAAAGCTGACCGGACAGGAGTATAGGCCAATGGGCTTACCTTCTTCTTAAGCATGTTAAAGTTATCAATAATAACTCCAATGAACAGATTCAGTGTAAAGAACGATCCGCACACAATAAATATAACAAAATAAATATACGCATATAGGTTGGCTTCCCGCTGCGGTTGCAGGTCCACTCCACGAGCATCGACCGCGTCGGCCATTACCTCCATCCAGCCCTCGAAGGTCGCCACTTGCAGCAGGGCCAGATAGCCCATCCCCACGTGGTCGAAAGTAATCTTTGAGTTGATCCACGTGTAGTTCTGTTCGATGCAGTCCCACTTGTCGTTTACCTCCTGGAATATGCAATGATTAATAATATCCCCGGTGTTGATTGGTGTGCAACTGCATCTGAGCATCCACCAGAATACTTACAGTAATCGGCAGTAGCTCGCCCATCTCATTAACGCACTTAAAAAATTTACCACCAAAGAACTGAACACCCATTATTGAGAAGATCAACCAAAAAACCAAACAAACCAAAAGAACATTGAAAATTGATGGTATTGCATACATGAGAGCGTTTACTACAATCCGCATTCCTTGCCACCTGGAATAGAAATGATCGATGAAATGCCAGCAGCAATAACGTGATGGACGCAGGTCGTCTCAACCATGCCGGGACAGTGCTCAGTGGTTGTGGTCAAGTGGATACTTTAAAAGTGCTGAATGGAGTGGTGGAGTGGAACTCATCTGCTTAGTCAACTATTTAGCTAGCTTAGGGAATACATATATACATATTATTCTTTTCTATTTCTACAATATTCTAAAACTACAGAGGCACAGGAAACGGCTATAATTCAAATGCAGACTAAACAGATTTAAGGACGAGGACAAGGACGGAGGCGAGGACGATGCAATGCGTGTTCTACGAGTACGTATTTCTATTCGAAATTCATAAAGAAGACGAGATTGTATTAAACACTGCACACGGCTTGGATCGCATCGCTCGGTCTGACCAACTCCTCCTCGAAAAGATAAAATAGATCAGTAGTGATAGAGGAAGAACGAGAAGTAGTGACGGAAGTTCCTACGCAGAGAGCTTTCTTCATCGGATGCACGGATGTTTGAGTAGGTTGTGGTGCAGCCTATCGGGAGACCAGCAATTGGTCAACTTACCGAGAGATGGCTCTCAGCGGACGCAAAGCTCGTAGAGTGCGCAGCGATCTTAAGACCTTCAGGTTCTCATTCTCTTCAATAAGCAGCGAGAAAACTGATACCTGGAGGAGAAGAAGTCGGTTGAAAGCCACCGTACAATGCATTTTTATAAATAGCACTTACAAACACTATGATGAAATCCAGTATGGTCCAGAAGCTGGTAAAGTACTTGGAAAATCCCAGGGCCAGCCACTTGAGAATCATTTCCACGACGAATATCAGACAGAAGGAGAAGTTAATCCAGTATAACACTCTTTTTAGCGTCTTGTTCTTGTCCAGGTTAATGTCCTCGAAGCAGAGCGTGATACTTGACGCAAAGATCAGCACCAACACAAACCACTCAAAGGCCGGAGTATCGACAACCGCCAAGACAGCCGTCCTCACGCGCGTCCAGTGCTTGGCGCTCTGCGTGTCCATGCAGCTCATGAACCAGGGACAGCGAAAGTAGAAACTGAAAAGGAGTCAGAATTAGAAAGCTGAGTGAGGAGGGATCGCTCGGGAATACTTACTGATCGTAGCACTTCTGCGGGAAACAGTCGTCAGGCACCTTGGCGGCCTTTGTGGCCCCGTAGCTCGGAAAAGTCATGGGATCATTGTAAGCTCCCTGCGAGTTACGCCTCCCACCGACAGTGAGATCGTCTACGTAGGAAACCAAACAATGCCATGGTTTTTCGGTCAGTCGCGTAAATGCAGACGGCTTCTGGGTGGCCTCTGGCGCCGTCGTCTTCGACTGCTCAGTCTTTTGGGCCATGGCCAGAGCCAGGGCTGAGCTCGTGTCTGCCGCTCCCGAGCTGTGCGACTCGGTGCGCGCGGACTGGAAGGATGCGGCTTTGTCTAGCGTCGATTGCGGATGCTCCTGGCGTCGCCGCTGCCCAGCCATTGAGTGAGCATGTGCCTGAGAGTTGGCATGGGCGTGGGCATGGGCGTGGGCGTGAGTGGGTGCTGCTTGAATGCTTGTGGCATGAAAGTGCTGCTGGTGCTCGGTAAGAGCAGCCAGCGGCGGGGTGGTTTTTAGCGATGAAATTTGCGCCAGTGTCGGTGGCTCGATGCTCGATTTCAAGGAGGTAGGCGGAGTAGCAGGAACGGCGGGGGGCGCGGTCATGCCCAGCTTCTGTTTCTGGATCAGGAGGTTTTCGTACGAGTTCGTACTCTTCAGAGAGAGGCTGTCCAGGCGCAGCTGGTCGTGACCGTGCAAAAACTTGCGTGGCATCTTCTCCGACTCAATGCGTAGCGTCGAGATAGGCTTCTCCTCCTCGGGTACTTCCTCCACGCGCTCTATAAGCGAAAGGCGCTTGAAACGATCGAACTGCACTGTAAACGGATCGACCTTCCGCCTGAGAAAGGGTGATTGATTAGGTTGGGTCGCCTGGCTGGCGCTGGTGGCTGCGACTGCCATTGCTTCCATGGCCACGAAAGGGGCGTGGATTTGATCACAGATTTTGCGTATCTCATTTGAGATGCTAAAGTCCTCATCGATCTTGCGCTGTTTTTCTAGGCTGCGTCGTTTTAGTTTTACGGATTGGCGCTGAGCGGCTGCGCTGACGGATTGCGAACGTCGTGGTACGCTTGACAGGTCATAACTGTCGTACGGGTTCAAGGGGAGCACTACCTCGTCGGCGGCCGAGCGCTCGGAAGCGCCTGTTATGATGGCAATGTGCTCCATAATGGCTTTAGTGGCTTCATCGGCTGCCGGAGAGGGCTCTGAAAGGTTGGAAAGTTTGCGCTCTAACGATGTAGTAGATCGCTTGATCTCTTCTAGTTCTTTTTCAAAACTCTGAATAATGTTGTCAAACTCAGAGTGCTCCACCAATGTTTCGTTCTCTGGCTGTCCCATCTGACTAGAGGGTCGTCGGGATCTCATGACATTTGAGATGCGGCTCAGGTTGGTCCCCTTTTGCAGTTCCTCTTCCTCCTGCAGGAACTGAAATAGTTCCTTTTGGTCGCAATTGAGCAGTTCTTCTCGCAAATTGCCCTGCTGAGACAGCAGCTCATCCTGTTCGATAGATATGGAGTTTAGGGACTGGCCGCTAGAATGACGACGCATCTCAGCCTCTTCCGACTTGAGCAATGAGCGCTGAGATTGCCCGCTAGATTGGGATAGGCGATCCAGTGACTTTCGGTAGCTTGGTGATCGCGTCAGCAGGGACTTCTGGTACTTGAGATAGGCCTCGTCGGGCTCTTCGCTTCCGTAGCGCCGCGAGGAGTTGTCCTGCAGTGAGTCGCCTCGGTTAAAGGAACCACAGCCGCTCCGTTGATCGTTAGCGTACGGATCTGTATCCGTTGAGTTGTATTGGCCCAGCAGGCGCAGCTCGATTGATTCTGTGTAGGTAGCCTCCTCGCGGGAATCGTTCTGCTGGGTGCTCACTCCCGAAGAGATTTGATGCTGCAGCCGGCGCTCGGCTTGTACGAACGGCGTTAGATTTTGGCAGTTCCCGTTCCCATTGACAGAGGAAAATGAGCCTGCAGTGGCGGCCATCATAGCACTCTCATAGGTAGGAGGCATGGAGTCCGAAGTGGGTGGCAGTGGATGCGCCTGCAGCTGCATCTGCTCTGGCAAGTCTCCCGTGTCATCATACTCAAGGCCATCGACTATCGTATGCAACCCGTCATGCAGGGGAATCTGGAAGCCGAAATCTGAGCCAGAAACTGGGCGATTCATAGATTCCTGAGAAACATATGGATTAATTTTATTTTGCAAACGTGAAGTGCAAGACTTATTACCTGATAGCTCAATCTGTGAAATTTGGTTTCGGCCAGCGCACCGGGCTTGTCGCCTCTCTCCAGAGCTACTGCAGCCTGGTGGGAGTGAGTCTGAGCGTGCGCCTGCTGGGCATCCAGTACGATCTGCTGGAACTTCTCCGCAAACTTTCGCTCCTTGCGATCCTTGCGCTCTTGTCGCTTCTTGCGAATCAGGTCGCGCACTCGTTCGATACTGCGCGCCAACTTGGACTCCTCGCCCACTTCCTATTTGGGTCAGAGATTGAAGAACATTAGAACACAGCGAAGCCCATGGGTGAAACTCAACTAAAGAGTTCGCTACATTTTTCTTTTTGAATAGACATCGACATTGACATTATACAATTGGGGATCCAATGCATACAGAACTGAACAGGACTTATGCTAAGGGCAGGCAACAGAAAAAATACAAGGTACATATATAGCCTGATCGACTTTTGACTACTCTATACATAAGTATTTACACATACAGTATGTCTGGATTTAGATATAGATTGGTTAACGCAAACGAGGCAAGCAAGTTTAAAGCAAGTAAGAAGTTTAGTTAAAAAAATTACCTTCTTCTTGAAAATCTGTTTAACGTTTTCAGTGTATTTAAATTGTTTAAGTTTCGTTTTGATTGGGTTTTAGATGGTGTTTAGTGTTAGGTGTTTTTTGTGTCGCAAGTTAGGATTTAAAACGCATTGTGCAGAGTTGACGACAGAAATTCGGTTAATTGGAATACGCTTTAGTGCATTTTAGAGATTTGTTTTACATGTAGACCTACAATAAGACTTAAGCGAGGTCTGTTCTGGTCTGAGTTGGATGCGATTTGAGTGTTTGCTAATTTCGCCAGAACAAACTTCGTAGAAACAGTTTTCGGACGGGCCGAACTGATGGACCCAGCAAAGGCAAAGGTCGTAGGTATTAGACTTCTTTGACTCCTGTGCTGAGTGGGGTTATTATAGTTTTGGTTAAATAAGAGAGTATGAACATTTAGCACACTTAGTAACACAATACAGACAGCGATTAAATTTAGAAGGATTTTTAGAAACATGAAAATAATAATCGGTTTTGCTTGTGGAAACAGAGGAGTGCCACAGATCGTATGGTGTATAATTCAACTGGAAATTTAATTGGGGGTGCCATCGCGCGATCATGATAAAGCTAAGATCTCACACACAAGAGACACACAAATACCGAAAACCACATAAAGTGCAAGACACATTCAAATCAAACATTTATAGGTTGACCAAACAAACGATCATCTTAACCATTTTAAAGGATTGTTTTATGACACGGGAGAGATGATCCCTCCCCCATCGCATTTCGAGATTTTCGGATTTAGTTATCAGGTTGTTTAAGTACCTTTTCTGGCACACACATAGACATAAAGACATATACATTCACGAACGCTAAGAAACTGGGATCAAAATATGAGCATCCGGAACATTTGACTTGCCTCTTTTTTCGACTTGAGCTCCTCGGAGTTAAAACTGTTGAGCAACAAGGCCAAGAACAAGTTAAGCACCATGAAGTTTCCCATCACGAGCGTCGGCAGAAATATGGCAAAGCAGGTGGAGGCTCCTTGCTGGAATATTTAATAAATTTAAGTAACCTTTAGTATTAGTTAATAGACGTAAGGGCCATACCTCCTCTTCGGCTCGCATGCAATCCCAGAGAGGCTCGATCCATTCGCCGCACAGAATGCGAAAGATCATCATAAACGAGTGAAAGAAGTCATTGAAATTCCATCTGTTCAAAGGTATAAATATAATTAATTTAATTTAATTTAAGTTTTCTTCTAGTCTTGCCTTGGCACAGGATCTGGGTCGAACTTCTCGGGCGTATAGTCTTTGGAGAACAACTGCATGCCGATCACAGCGAATATGTAGATGACTATGACTAAAATGAGCGTGAGGTTGCCAAGGGCGCCGATCGTCGAGATTATAATGCTAAGCAGCACCTTCATTGTAGTCCACGATTGAGCCAATTTTAATACCCTTAGCTGGAAAAATGAATCATGAAAATATACAATTGAAAGCTAGATAAAGTCCTTTTACCAATCGCAAGCCACGCAAGACACTTAAGCCATCGACCAACTCGAATATAATATCCAGCAAGCTCGCAGTAACGATAAGGAGGTCGAAAATGTTCCATCCGCAAAGAAAAAAATCTTTAGACAGCGCCATTAGCTTGACAATGCACTCAAACGTGAAAATGGACGTAAAGACCTATGGGGTGCAAGAAAAAGTTTAACTTATTCTGGTGGTCGGTAATGTTAATCTCACTTTGTTTCCCACATCCAGTGCGTTGCGGAAACTTTCACTCATCCCGTGGTGCTCCATGGCCAAAAAGGCGGTGTTCAACACGATGCAAAGTGTGATGGCCAACTCAAAAAGAGGATCCCTCACCACTTTGTACAGGCAGTTTTGAAACTGTAGCCAGCTTTCGTAGTCGGTGCACCAATGAACGCAACGATCACAGTTTCGGTCGGGTAGGTCATCTTGAATAGTGATGTTTGCATATAAAGTGTCCATCCACAAAACGTCTTTTTAACTTATTGCTTACCGATCACCACCACCTCCGAAGAGAATTCCTGGTGCAGGGCGTACACATTGTGGTTCTTGATGCGTGCAATGTTTCCATTGCATTTAATAAGGCGCACCTCGCGTGGGGACAGGGCCAGCTCAACGGTGGACACGTGTCCCATGTCGTTGGTCGTATCTTGTTCCTCGTGATCGTCCACTACCCCAGAGTCGTCCTGCGAGGACTCGCGATTTACGCCGCTTGAGTTGGAGCTCGGCTGACGGCTGCTGGCGATGAGCTGTCCTTTGTAGTCCGAGGGGTAAAGCATATTAGGGTTCTTTACGCCCAAACCGGTGTCCTGAAAGCTGATGCGCCCCTTGGGCGTGGGGGGCATTGCAGAGTTGCTGCCGCCATTGCTAGATTTGGCCAGCTTGTGCTGCTGCTCCATCTGCTGGTATTGTTTTTGAGCTTGCATAGTAAGTGCCGACGGGCAATCAGTTGCGCTGTGGCGGGGACTTGGTCCAGGACTGGGGGTGGCCGAATGGGATTTATGGTCGTCCCCGTTGCTGCCGTTCCCATTGCCGTTGGTGCCACCCTCCTTTCCACCTTTGGTTTTTTTTCGTCTCGTTTTTTTCTTGCTGTACGATGCCAAGAGCACTCCCTTCCGTGAGTCGATCTTCTTTTTGTTGTTCTTGTTTAGCTTTTTTACGTTAAGCACCGAGGGATCAAAGCTAAAAGTGGAGTCATCCCGGTGGTCCAAGAGATCCTTTTTGCGTTCCTGCAGAATTATTTAAATGTTATTATTGCACCAGATAGGGATTTCATGGACTCACCTCATTCGTGATCTCCGCTTCCTCCTCGTAACTTAACGCCACTACAGCCAGCATCAGATTGATTAGATAGAACGAGCCAAAGAAAACTACCACCGTAAAGAAGGAGACGCTCATGGGACCACAGGTTGCCAGCACCTGGAAGAAATGTCACTGAATTAGACCCTCACAATCCCAAGAACCTCGAAGCACTAACCATGTTGTACACATTTTCCCAGTAGTCGAGCGTGATCAGCTGGAATGTCGTCAGCATGGACCACATAAAGTTGTCAAAGTTTGTGTAGCCGTGATTGGGATTCTCGCCTACGCAGAGGCACACGTACTCGAAGGGACAGTGGCGGGCTCCAGTTAAGTTACCACACAGCACGGGCAGTTCATCCTCGTCATATAGCCAGTTGTCGGTGTCGTTGACCCAGCTGAAACGAAATAAGCCATCGATTAGATCGAACTTCTGACCTGAAAGCGAGACTCCTTGCACAACTCACATCTGCCAGTCTGTGTGAGAGACGTTCGTCCAGTCGGTGGGAACCTGGCGTACGCACTTATTGCGCAGCTCGCCCATGTAGACCTGGAGGGCAAACAGCGCGAAGACCATTAGACAGAAGATGGTCAGAGTCATGACCTCCGCCAACTGGCGGAAGGAGTGCAGCAACGCGTTGATGATCGTCTTCAATCCGGGCATGATGGACACCGTCTTGAGGGCGCGCAGCACGCGGAAAGTGCGCAGCCCCGCCAGGTTGCCCACCTCCATGCCGATGGTGGCATAGCCACTGGTAATGACCACGAAGTCCAGCCAGTTCCACGGGTTGCGCAGATACGTGTACTTGTTGAGCAGAAATCCCTTGGCAATAATCTTGATGACCATTTCGATGGAGTAAATGGCCAGAAAGATGTACTCCGCCTCCTCCACGGTCTCCGTCATGGCCAGGAAGATGCAGTTGAACAGTATGGTGGCCATAACGCAATAGTCGAAGAACTGGTTGGTGGCGATGTAGACGCAAACGCGCCTTGCTGGGCTCCATGGGTAGAAGAGGAATAGGCTCTTGGTGCCCGTGAAGCGATGGATGTAGTTCTTCCGGAACCGCTTGGATACCACACAGAAGGTCTGCAATTTGAAAAAAAAGCGCGCTTAGTACAGGGTGCTGTTTGGCGGAGGTCGGCAGTTTCCCAGTTGGGGCTCCCGGCAATGTGGGGGTAAGCGTTGTGCAGCTCTTATTTGATACCCACTTGTTTAGCGCCGAGCTGGTTCCAATTAAGAAGGACTTTCTTGTTAAATCATATTAAAAGGAAATCGGATATGGCAGCACCAGCACCCGCGCGGAAAGTAAATGGCAGTACTGCCAGGTGGCAGTCCTATGTGGCAGCGCCCCTATCGATAGTCAGCTATCGCACCGAAGCAACCCTGCGACGAGCTGTCAAATGGCCACGCGAGCCTAGCACGCCGACTTCCGTTTTATATTCGTTCTTTCGTTCTCAAACCGTCGTCCAGACCAGAAGGAAAATGAGAGCTAAGGTAATTATTCGCGACAAGAGAATTTTCCGTTTGAAACATAGTGAATTGAACCCAAGTGAACAGCAACTAACAGTGATTTCTCTCGTTTGCAGTGGCGTAAGAAGCGTATGCGTAGGTTGAAGCGTAAACGCAGAAAGATGCGTGCAAGGTCCAAGTAATCGCAGCGCCATTGCCCACTAAATGGTGAGTTCATACGCTGGCCGCAGCAACTGGGAGCACCTTTTCCCAACCCATGCCATTTCCCGCACGCGAGGTTCTAATGCAAGTTGCCTTCTGTTTGCAGGAACTCTTGATTGATGCTAACACACCGAAACGAAAAACGCCGACTGGGTCGCCCCAAAAAAGTGGCCCTCATGTAATTTTGCAAACCAGTTTTCACACAAACGTACATGTGCATTTAAAATTCACGTAAAAATTGATTCTAATAAATTACTGGATTTTCGCCAAGGTTCCACAACTAAACCATGCGTTGTTAATAAGAGTGGAAGAGAGAGAGCGGTGAGAAAAGGGCCAGCGTGCTCTTTCGACATAACCACATTCGCGAATCATGTGTCTATATGTGCGTGAGCGCGAGAGCACGTTTTGCCAAAAGTGTTCTGCTGTTCAGATTACAGATTTTAGCGCACTTCCTGGCTGCCATGGCGATGGATGCTTATCGGCCACCCGGCGGATTGGGTCCACTTGGCGCCCATCGGAAGGCCGTATTAAACATTGATCAGCTCGAGGCAGGCCAATAAATTGCCTCCGAATCGGCTAATACGGTTATTCAAGGCGCAGTAGGTTGGAGGAACTGCCTCCGACCCCAGGGAGCGCGTGTCCTGCGCTCGTCATGCTGTTCTGCTCCTGCCCCTTGGCCACGTTCGAAAAATCGATTTGCCTGCCTCCAAAGGGGAGCAACGAAAACTAAACCTTAAGGCAGCCGCCCAGGCCGCACTGAGTTGTTCATTAGCGCCCTGATTTCTTCAATTATATATGCAGATGTGCCTGCCGAGGATGATGTTTCGGCTGGCCCAGTAGCGTCCGACCCCCTCCCTCCAGCCCTCTCGTCTGAAGGTCGTTCGTCACTGTAATACACACATAAACGTCGCTCAGCCAAGTAAGCAGAAATTTTAATGTAACGAGCTAAAATTTCGATTGGGTGGCACTTTGCCATTTGCCATTTTGTGGGTCTGGCTGTAAATTTGCATGCCTTTCCAGCTCCCTTCCCGAAATGTAGTTGGTGGTTCCGGCAAGCAGCGGAGCGAAGAGCTTAAGGATAAGCGTGTGTATTTCTAAGTGCCCCAAACGAATAGCTGTGTAGAAGCTTGTAGAGATTCCGGACAAACATGCGGCGTCTGTGTCTTATCGTGTCGCCGGAGACGAGCAGACGGGCGTTGTTTGCCAGCAGATGGCCATTAAAATGCAATTAAGCACTTTGATTCTGCACCTGCAGTGGCTGTTTGAAAGCCATGCAACCCATTTCCATCGGAGACGAGCAGTAGGGATGCGGATGGGAGCCACTGGGCTGCTATCTTGGTTGGCTACGCTGTTTGGTTAGGAAAGTTACTCAAAGCCATGGTTTAAGAATGTTTGCTTTGCCTAGATCCCAGGGCGCTATCAGAGGTGTGCAATGGTCACAGAGAACCCAGTAACCTTGGCTAATATTCAAATTTAATAGCTGGAAGCTTCAATTACTAAATGCCCTGCCTATTCAAAGCATCTTGAATTAAGGCACCAAATTGTTTGCTTCAAAGTAACCAAATCTAAAGCCACTAGTGGCAAAATACTTAATTACGACGTGCTAGGAAAGCCAAATGCAGATGGCGCAAAAATTACTCGTATGTACCTTGCGATGTACATACATGTATGTGCCTTGGGAGTTGGCTTGATTCTGTGGAATGGATTGAATAAGGCAGTGTGCTCAACAGATTAGGCAACTTGAGAAACTGTTCTCATTTGTTTTTCCGAATACCTAACCATTCAGGATTTAATTATAGAATGTGGGAAAACATTGCAGCACCCATCGCAGGAGTGACCCAGAAAGAGCGTGGAGACTCGCAGTGGGATGTTCCCGGACTGCAAGCATGTTGCCAATAAGATTTAATTATAGATTGCCGCACTTTGTTTGTCTTGGACTTAGCAGGATGCCCGGTAGATCGATAAACACATCACTCGGCGTCACGGCTTCGCTCATCTTATCGCTCCCCGTAACTCCCATTATATTGCAGCCCAGTGGGCTGGCCACTTGCATGTTTATTCAGCCCAGTCCAGTCCAGTTCGTCCGGTCAGGCCGCTATCCGGAATTATTTCGCCACGACACGTGGCGCGAAAGCCGCCAAGTCTTGAGTACACTTGCATGTTCGCCTATAATTTGTCCTCTGCGGCTGCTGCGGCAGCGGCAGCGGCAGCGGCTCCGGCCAGTTTGTTTGAGTCACGTAAATACGGCTGTCAACTTTGCTGCCCGGAGCCCTGTGCATGACATGACCCATATTTCCAGCACCGAGCTCATGCCACACACTCACACTTGGGCAGACGGTGTTGGGTGTTTGCAACTGTGTGTCCTTTGTTTGATGTAGTTCCAAAATTTATTCCCGGCTTTGAAATTTAACGAGCGAGCGGCATTTACGCTGATTTCCTTTTCGGCTTTCGAGGACCCACGAGGGCCGTTCTAGGCGTTTCCATTAACCGCAGTTTCCCTGCGCCAAAGTGCACTTCCACTTGTGCCCACAATGGGGCAAGTGCAGCGCGACGACGGTATCAAAACAAAAGCAGCAACAGCCGCGCCGTGTTCCATTTCCGCCGCCTGCACCTGCCACCGCGAGGATTGCCCTACCACGAGAACACGGATCTGGGGTCTGGTCGCCTGCTTGTGACTTTTTAATTAGAGCCAATGGGCGGCCAACTGAGGCGAGGCCGCGGATAATGAGGGAATGCTTAACGCGGCAGTACTCACCTCCTCGTAAATGAAGGTGTCAATCTCCTCCAGCGGCTTTCCGTACATGTGCTCCGGAAAGGGCTCGAACTTGCGGGGCAGCACGTCGCCGTCCTCCACGGAGGCCTTGGTGCGCGGGTGGAAGCCGTACTCCCGCACCAGCTGGATGTGCCGGTTCTCGTGCTTGACCTGCGACCTCTGCGTGTACGCGACAACCTGGTGCTTGGCGACAGCTGAAAGAGATCGAAGGGATTATTACTCTGAGGAGCAATATAAACATATATGTAAATAAGCGGACCTCAACTAATGTGCAGGTAAATACGTAGACAGGCGGCACCTTAGTAATTTGAATCTTTTAGATTATTGTCATACAAATTATTGTGTATTTTAAAATTCCGACTAAATAGTAAATTGAAAAAAAACGTGTGTAATGGGCCGGAGATTAATAAAAGCCTAGCCGACATCTTATACAGTAGCAGAACATTTTGCTTGCGGAATGACAATACACCACCTCGTCCTCATCTGTACAGTGAATAGCTCCTGCCGTGCTGGGGAGCTGCCCCCGGACCGAAAGCCAACCCGTCCATTGCTCGTCACCACATCCGATGCCCGAGAACTCGGTGCATGTCCAGGTAATGCAGGCTCTCGGCGGCGGAATCGCCGGAGCTGCGACGCGTACCATAACCCAGCCGCTGGACGTGCTGAAGATACGCTTCCAGATGCAGGTGGAACCAGTCACCAACCATCACGGGTCCAAGTACCGTGGGGTCATCCACGCATTCAAGTCGGTGTACGCCGAAGAGGGGATGCGCGGCATGTTCCGGGGACACAACTCCGGTCAGGTTCTGAGCATCTCGTACGCTCTGGTGCAGTTCTGGTCCTACGAACAGCTTCGCTCCATGGCCCACCATTGGGACTTCTGGACGGAGCGCCCCTTCCTTATGTTTTTCATCTGCGGCGGCATAGCCGGATGTCTGGGAGCCGTGGCGGCCCAGCCGTTTGACGTGGTGCGAACCCAGATGGTGGCCGCAGACCCCTCCTCGCGCCGAAGCCAGATGAACACTTTTACTGGACTTCGAAAGGTCTATAGAATGGAGGGGTTGACCGGTCTGTGCCGAGGATTACCCTTCACGCTTGTGCAGGTGTTTCCGCTGGTGGGGTCAAACTTTCTCTTCTACAAGTACCTCAACGCCGCCGTCCTGATGGCCAAGCCTCCCGACCAGCGGCAGGAGATCCACGGAGGCTTCCTCTTCCTCAATGGGGCGCTGTCCGGGGTGCTGGCCAAGATGCTTGTATATCCGGCGGACTTGCTCAAAAAGCGCATCCAGCTGATGGCCTTCAAGCAGGAACGCAAGACCTTTGGCCGCAACCCCGAGTGCCCCACCGTCCTGGGCTGCATCTCCACCACGTTCCGGGAGGAAGGACTCGGGGGCTTCTATAAGGGAATGTTGCCTACCCTGCTCAAGGCAGGACTGATGAGTGCCGTGTACTTCTCCATTTATGACATGTTTAAGCGCCACTACATAGCTCCGATGAAAGAGGCGGAGAAAAATCGACAAAAACTTCACAAGCCTTAGGTAAAGGTAAATCACATGCTGGGCAGTTGGCTTAAATTATTACACTAACATGGTTTATTTTGTACACCAGTATCTTGGGAGAATGTGTGGAATATGGATGAGCGAACATGTCAAATATAAGTTAAACGTGAACAGTAGACTAGACGACCAGATGGCCACGGACGGACATTGCCGTCTACTTCCAGCTTGAGCCGGATCCTGCCCAGCCGCCGGAGGCTGGCGCCGAGTAGCTGTATCCGTCTCCACCGCCGCCGGAAGTTCCACCGTAGGAGCCACCGCTGCCGGACGCAGCGGCTGCAGCCACCACCTGGGTATCGTAGCTGGATCCGCCGCCACTGCTGTAGCCGCCGCCATGACCACCGCTGTATCCTCCAGAGCTGTAGGACGAACCACCGCTGTAGGACGAACCACCGCTGTAGGAGGAGGCACCGCCGTAAGAGGATCCACCAGAGTATCCACCATCGTAGCCACCGGAGGAGCCACCGCTGTATCCGCCAGACGAGCCACCTCCGTATCCGCCGGAAGAGCCATGGGAATCACCAGCTGCAGCAGCAGCCACAATCACCTGGGTGTCATGACCTCCTCCGCTGTGACCGCCACCGCTGTACCCTCCGTATCCTCCGCTGCCACCATGAGCAGAAGAGTCTGAGCTGGCGGCGATGGCTGCAATGTTGGCGATGGCATGGCCACCATAACCTCCGCCGTGTCCGCCGCTGCCTCCATGTCCACCATGTCCATGATCGGAGGATGAGCCAGCAGCAGCTGCGATAGCAGCAATCTTGGCATCATCGTGACCGGAACTATATCCGCCGGAACTGTATCCGTGGCCACCGCCTCCGCCTCCCCCGGCACTGTATCCGTGGTTCTCGGTGATAACAGCATAGGTGTTCACATGGCCACCGCCTCCTCCACCGCCGCTGTATCCGCCATCCTGGGAGTGAATCTCATAGCCCCCACCTCCTTGGCCGCCAAAATCACCGCCTCCGTGGCCACCATGGCCACCATCTCCACCGCTCTCCGGCAGGTGAATGCGGATGTGAACATGCTCTCGTCCAAAGGTGGGCTTTCCCCATACAGCTGGGCTAGCCAGCAGAAGCGCACTGATCTGGGATTGGGAGGAGGGAATCTGTGTTAGGATCCACCTGAACTGACGTGGTGTCGTGTCGTGCCAAACTCACTATGAAACGGGCTGCCATTTCTCTGGATTCGTTGCGAAGGACTCGAATGATTGCTCGCCTCTGGACCGACTGGAAATGATTCGGCAATCGTGGGCACACGCCGTTTTATAGCCCTCTTCTCCATTCGGGAGCCATGGAGTTATATAAGCGATCGCTCGCCGCGGAGCAAGTGCAGAGATAATCTCTTTCTCCGACGACCAGCTGAATGAAGTGGAGCCAGACCACTGGAGCTTCCCGAGCGCGACCCATTGAAGGCCACATGACCGCGTCTTCGTCTTCGTTTTCGTTTTCTTCTCGGCCGTTTGGTCTGTACTCTCCCTTTCCGAAGATCGCGAGAGTGTTGACCTTTCACATCATCCCCAGCATGTGCCCTTTTGCAATCCCACTCTTTTCACAACAAAAAATGAGTCCCAAAATTATTTGAAATCCCATGGTGTGATGCCAACATAAGTGTACCAGACATTTTTGGTTTTCCATTTTCAATACTTTATATGATAAACAAAACCGGTTTCTTAGACCAATTTAAGATCGCTAAATGATATCTTAAATTCCTTTTGATATATTTGCGTAACAAAAACATATTTCATATGTCTAGAAACGATTTATCCAAGCTGCATAATAAAAAATAAGTTTCTAATTCTGCGTTTTCTACTGATTCACCTAAGGTACGCATTAAAGTTGCGCTTGTAATACGCAGCTTCTCCCAGTGTACTAACTCACTCTCTCCCGAGGAGCAGTCGCTTCTGTGCTCTACTTTCTTTCGAGAGAAAATCTGAGTGGCCCTAAGCTTCGTGGGCTGGTCGTCGAAAATAGCTAACACCGAAAATCAAGCTGTGGTAATATGCAACTTGACCAGTTCCAGTTTTGGCCCAGAGCTCAATGCTATTGCTACTTTATCACATTGCCGATGCTGGTTGTTAACCGTTAGGTATTTTGTTGACGTTCATGTTTATGGATTTTTATGCAGATACGACGAACTTCCTATTGGCAATTCCTTATTGTTGCTCCAGACTTGCATAACGGTTGGCCAAGGGTTGGCTGCTGCCCGCTGGCTGCTTGCTGTCGTTAGTCATTAACCCATTGATGGCCGTTCCCGTGCCGGAAATTAGCAAGATAAGTTCGTTTGCCCGCCCGGAGGAGGGGGGCTGCGGGGCGGCTGTTTGGCCAGGCACTGTTCTTCGGATTGGGTCAGGTCAGGTCTCCCCTTAGAGAGCCAGTTCGGCAAGAGACTCTCGAGCGTTATTGGGTTAAGCCTCGCCTGCAGCAACAGCAAAAATATCTTGTCATGCCCCGGCGCTGCAGCATGGGCAAAAGGCAGCGCGTCATGGGTTTTGTTCGCGCTTACATCACACCATCACCAAGATGTCCGACCGCTGGCGGAGAGAGGTCATGGCCACTGGCCACCCAACACCGCCAACACCGCCATCTCACCCACCACTCAGCACGCCCCCTCCGCCATGCTTTCGCCGTTGATTAGCCACTGTTTCCATTAGCAGTGAGTGACTTGGGCTGAGCCAGCGAATCGGGGCCATCCGGCCATTTCTATTACGTCGCTGATTATCATTTCCATCTGGCAGCTACGAAGCCGCGAAGCTAGGCAGCTAGGCAGCTAGGCAGCTAGAGCTAGACAGCTCGGCAGATTCCATCACTGCCGAATAATTAATCCACATTTAAACTGTTTCGGATTGTAAACAAAGCGGGCTTACATAAGGAACTAGCTGGGAGCAAGCGGGACACCGACGCAATAATATGCTGCCAATCAAACCACATCGACGGTCATAATCACGATGCTGTGGCGAATGAAGTTCGAACTGGAAGGCGCTGTGCTGGAGCCCACGGGCTGCACTCCAGTGCCATCAGAGCATCTTTCAATGGGGATTACATCTTCAGCTAGTGAGGGCCATACTCGCGATGATGAAGCTGCTTCTGCTGCCGCGGCGATGACGGCAATGACGATGGGCAACCGGTTGGCGGTCGCACATTAACATCAGATGCAACAAAGACGCACATCTTCCCCATATTGCATAATCGAGCCGGGCTCGCGACTCGAAACTCCAGACCTGCTGCCGCATCTTCATGCGGAAGCAAAGTCATTCTCAAGGCGCCCAAAAACAAAAAGGAAATTGCACAGCGACACAGAAAACTTAAAAGCAGCTAGCAACGTGCAATGTCGTGGTTTTCCCAAAAAACCAGTTGCATCCACACACAGAGAGAAAACTTGTGATACAAGTGCTTCATGCGATGTTCTCAAAAATGGAAAATTGTGAGGAAACCTTTTAGAATTGTGGATAAAGTGTAGAAAGTCCATTCGATTTTCTGCCTTATTAAAAGACTCTGTAGTTATGAACTGGCTGCTGGTGTCCGATTTTCTGGGCTAATTTTGAAAGTTTTTGCTTTAAGTGCAGCCATTGTTGCAGTTGCAACTGGCGTTGATGCCTCTGTTGCAGTTGCAGCTGCGCAGACCTTTGAGCAAGTTCAATGGTGACGGGAATGGGAATGGAAATTGAAATGGGATTGGGATTGGGACTCGGAGCGGAGGCTTAGGGGGTGGGGCAATTACGCCCCTCGCAGTTGGGGCACTTTCCATACAGCGCTCTCGACTGCTTCCTGGCCCTGGCCAGAAACCAAAACCGAATCCAATTCGAGACTGGCAAGGCGGAAAGGAAGGTGGTCCAGGCCCCAGTCCAAGCTGAGCCGAAGGAGAAACCGAAACAGTGGCTGCAGTGATGCGGGAGCAACAAAAGTGAAAAAGTGAATCGGTAGGATAAAGCGAGATGCAGCAGCAATTGCTCTACATATTTAATTAGTTTCCGTTTCCGTTCATATTCGTAATCCGCAGCTGGCAGCGCCCGCTGGCCTTTGTGCATTGTTCACCTCCCCAATGAATATCCTCCGCTGACAATGGCGCCCTCCGCCCACTTATCAACCCAAGGCCCACCCACCCGCTCCTGCCGAAAGGACAAATGGTGCTCTCTATCGGCGCCTGCAAAAACGATTGCGTAACTTATGGCCAGTCATCAGCCGAAACTTTTGCGTCCGGCAAAAGCGCTCCCCATTTTCGATTTGTTTATCATTTATTTAAACGGCCTTAGGGTCGCCCTGCTCCGCCATTAAGCTGGTTCGATTCCATTTTCGTTTTATTGGCCAAGACCCAGGACTCAGGACCCAGGATACAGGACCCAAGTGCCCAAGACTCATGCCCATGCCCCACATCCCGGCACAACTGGCACAGCAATCGCCCAGCACACAATGAGCAATGCTATTTAATTATGTTGATGAGCAGGACCGGACAGCGGACAGGAGTTCGGGAAGTGGCAGGAAAACGCTCAACACGCACAAAAAGCAAATGCCTTCCGTCCTCCCGCCCCCAACTGCCTTAATATGGCACTGTGGGTGGCTCCCTCACTGAGTTTTCGGAGTGTGTGCAATAACCTGATGAAGAATGTCCTTCCTTGAGCTCATAACTTGGCCTACTAATATATTGTTTGCAATTTGCAAATTGTCAGTTTTCGGGACAAGAAGTGTACAGCGTGTGGAAAGAAACTTAAACAGACCCACAAATTAAATAAAATTAAATGTACGATTGCAAAAAATAAAACAAGCTTGACTCTGTGGAAGGAAATCCTGTAACTCCAGTCATGCGACGACAACTGTGCTTCCACAACCACTGTGCACGACTTTCTTTGGTTGGCGTGCAGGTGTCGTTGTCAGGATGTCGGAGGAGCTGATTGAGGAAGGAGGAGGAGCAGAAGTCCTGCCCTGTGACACCTGCCCTCCTGACCTTGCACACTCCCGCATACAGATTTGATGGCCTCCCGGTTACCCAACTCCCCGTTGGACACCTCGGGAATAATATTTATGAGGCCGGGTGGCTTGGAAAACTATCAATAGCAGAATCAGGAGGGCTTAGCGGTTTTGGGGACTCACCTTTCTCATCGTTGGACGTCGCTTGATCATCACTCATCTTGACTGATTGTCGTCGTTTTGTTGGGTGCTGCTGTCTCTGGTTGCGGTAGCTTCTTGGTCCTTCGCCTCCGTCGTCGTCGTCGGCGTCGTCGTCCTGGGCGAGGTCCTTAGGGCAGCTGCATGCCTCGGTCGCGCTCTCTCTTGCCAGGCTTCTCACTCGACTTTCGAACACTGGTCATATGTCTATCTCACTTTTCAAGCGAGCGGATCGCTCAGTTTACCGTTAATATTGTCACCGTTCCTTTTGTTAACCATATTGTGCCTAGTATATACTATTGCTGTTGCTATTGTTGCTGTGCTTATCACGCTGGGGGCTTTCATGATGTCTGCTGCTATTGCTATACTATGCAAATCTTATGACTACGACCGTTTCCAATAATGGCATTTGGCATCGCCCCAGCTCAGTTCCTCAGCCTCGTCTACTTCTATTGTGAGCTTTGGCTTTGTTGTGCTGATTATTGCTTTACATTTTGCGATGCGATGCGATGCGTATGTTTTCTAAACGAAAGAAAGAGTTTCATGTAAGTGGAAAGATTTGGGCTTATGTAAGTAGGGGGAATGAGAGTAAATTAAATCGCCTCTGCCCGCAATTGCTCTGCGTCGTGTCATGTAACGGTAATTGGCAGCGCGCTAATCCCCGACAGCTCAAAGCACCCGCACCAATGCGCTCGGCTCACACTCAGAAAAACACTTGAAAAACTTGGAAAACACGCGATTAATTATACTTGTCAATTCTGTTTATTGCACCACCCCCACCGTCTGCCTTTTTATTTCGGACCGAACATTCCATTTACTAGGGGGAAATGTTGGAAAATGAATACAAGGCAATTAAGAGAGGAACGAATTTACGGATTTTTTTTAGGCAAAACAAAAAGAGCAGTTAGCTCTGATGATAAGTGTAGACTTCCTCAAGACTGAGAAACACATTTTTGCGAGTGCAGCAACGTATGCGCAACGTAACGACTCACTCGACTTACGTATGTGTAATGTGCGTAACGGAAGAGATAAACACCTGAAGGGGGAGGATGCGCATTGGGCGAGGGCCGGGAAATGAGTGCCGCTTTAAGTCTTAAAGCTTGAACGAGATAAAGTTAATTAACATTATGGGCATACCCATACACACAATCTAGCATCTCCTGCACAGACACACACAACGCAAGTAAGCTACCAGAATTGATAAATGGCACCCAAAGAAGAAGCAATGAGGTTGCGTGGGCAGTGGCGTGGGGCGTGGGGCGGGGCGGGGCGGGGCGGGGGCTGCTCACTGCTCAGCGCTTTGTTGATGCTGCTCCCGGCATTGTTGTGCATATACTATATGGGCATGTGTATGGGTGTGCAGGTGCTTGTGTAGGCCGCTGCTTCCTGTTGTGTTCCTCGCAAACTTCTTGACACGTCTGCGAGCATTGCCAGTTGCTCGCAAACTGGCAGCCAGAATGGAAAAGCGGTAGATGAAGGTAGATGAAGGCGCCCATAAAATATTCAATATCAAGTTTCCACCGCCCCGTTATGGCAGTTGATGTGATGTTTGCTGGCGGAAATTCGCTGGCAGTGGCAGGGATGCGCCATTACGCCTGGAGGCTGGGCGGGCGTGTGCCATCGGAGATTCACATGCATCTGCTGGTCTGTCCCGGACACACACCCAAATCGGCAAAAACACTTTTATTACAACAATGAGAGCGGCGCTCGAGGCATTAAACAGTGTGTTGTTGGCTTTCAATTGTTTGGTGGGGTCTTACCCTTAGGGGCGGGGATACTCGCTTCTGTTTCTGGTTTCTGCTTTCTGGGCGTGACCAGCGGCTGGTTTTAAAGTTGGCTCATAAAAGTGCGGCTGGCAGAGCTTTGCCAGTTGGCCCCTAAAGTTGTGCTACGAATTTTGTTCTCGGTCCCCTTCCTCCTTTTTAGCTCTCTCTTTCGTGCGAACAGAACGAAGCGATTCGAAACGAAACGAAACGAAAGTGTGGCCACCTAGTTAAGTGCACATCAAGGGCTAATTTATGACCAGGACTTTGTTGTTGTGTTGGAACCCCATTTTCCCTCCAAACACTAACACACACGCACACGCATATGAATTTTCGATTTTACCTTTAAGCATTGGCCATCAGTTTTTTGTATTCTCCGCTGGTTGCAGTTGTCGGATGTTCGGGATGATAGCTGGGCTTTATGTAATCGCTTGTGTGCTTGCACTCCGGCAATTTATATTTCTATTTTCGTATTTCACTTTCTTGGGCCTGCAACACACGCACACGTAGCACACTTACACACGTACACCTTCACTCGCACTTTAGCATCGACTTCCCAACACTGGCTCACTCACTATTCCCGATCCAGTTGTTTTTGCTCCTGCGGCTGTGTTTTATTTGATTTTATTTTACATTAATTACATTTTTATTTAGTCGCAACTGTGCAACAATGTGAATGTGAGTGGGTGGGGATGTTGAAACGGAACCACCAACAAAAACAGAAACAGAACAAAGCAAAAAACTTCGGGCACGCACATTGTTTGACACACGCACACACACACACACAAACACACACACAAGCATACTGGCAGTCTAAGAAGTGTTATTACAATTTACTGTTGATTTCTTTCGCGGCCCAAAGGGTGAGTGCGAAAGAGATAGCACGGTGGCCTCCCTGCCAGCGCACGTGTGTCTGTGTGTGTGTCAGCAAAAGCGTGCGAAAGAGCGCGAAAATGTAGGTTAGTTTCCGTCGTGCCCCTCCCCCTCCCTGCACCCACTTAGTAGCAGCAACAACAATATGCAGCACACATTTCACTCTATTTTTGGGCGCTGAAGAATTTTCATCGCACCGAATGCACTTGCGACGGTAACGCGCTTGGCTGTGCGGCTGTGTGGGTGCGAGTTCTGCGTTATGTTCCATGCCCTTTCAGGCTTTTCACTGCCTTTCACTTTTCACTTTTTACCATATTCCTTGGTTTTTTCACTTCACACTAGGACACTATGACACTGGGCCACTGTAAGTACGTGCGCTCGCATGGCGACTGCTCGGTTCTAAGGTTCGTCGGAGACTGAGCTCGGCTAACGGGTTTCCTTTCCGTTTGACGTAATCTGCAGGGCGACCACGATGCAGAGCGATGAAAAAATACACACGCGAACTTCCCCCTATTCTCCCGAAAAGGACTCGTGCGGGAAATGCTCTCACGCTCGGCTTCGTGCTCGGACTCCTCCTGAGCCCCCGCGTTTGCTTGTAGGTCAGCCGGCATAAACAAATGCCGTGCCACATGCCACATGCCTCACGAGCGACGAACTTCCCCCTATTCCACCGATTTAAATTCCGAATCCTCCGCTGCTGCACCGCGGGGCAAAGGACTACCGCCGTTGTCCCTTCCTCGGAAGGAATATGTCGAAATGATTTAGCTTGAATATGGGCCACTGGCTAACAAAACCAGCAGCATGCGGACGCTGTTCATCAGTCCGAAATGGTGTAAGGATGGTCCGTCCTCCCCGCCTTGCCCACTGCAATTTCCGCCTCGGGCTTGCACACTCGGCGTATACGTAATGTCAGAAGCAGCACGTAACGTATACGCAACGTTTGCTTGGGGAGATCGCTAGCTGGGCTTCTTTCGCAATTGCAGATAAGCTCAATGCCTCGGACTTAGATTGATAAGTATGCGCCTCGACTGGCAGTGTCGACTCAGTTCTGCTCCAGCTTCCACCAGAGTCGGAAGCAAAGCCCAAGTCGCATTTGAAAGCACTTAGATAACCTTATCAAGGCGAAACGGAAGCAGAGCAACCAGCAAAGTCACAATGCGGTTGCCATTTTTAGGAGTATCGCTGGTCCTTCTGCTCTCCGTAACCGCCGGAATCTGCCAATCCAGCTATGAACTGTCTACCAAGAAGATACTTGATAGAGCCAAAGACCGCATGCGCCATGTGTGGAGTCTGAACCGCAGGATCTTTGTGCAGCTCACGGCCAAGGGAAAGTCACCGCTAGGCGGTCAGGTTCTCAACTCAAAACAGGAGGTGGAGGCGGAGACCTATCGACTATTTTACGACTTAGCGGGCAACCTTAGCGTCGTGTCAGTGGCTAAATTGGATGACCCACTTCTTCGCAGGCGCGTGCAGCGAATGGCCAAGTTGCAGCTGCAGGGCCTGCGGCCAAAGGACTACGAGCAGGCCAAAGACCTTCTACGTCAGATTCACAACTTTGTCAACGGACCAATGGTCTGTCCCTACGAGGACTGCTCCGCCCGTGGGTTGCTGGCCATGTACCCGCAGATCATGAACAAGAACATGCACACCAAGCTATACGAGGATCTGGTCGGCAACTGGAAGGCCTGGCGCAAGGCCATAAACGAGAAGGACGTGGCCAAGAACACGTTCATCAGCTACGTTCGGCTTCTACGGATCGCTGCCACCTACAACGGACATGTGACGCCCTCGCGCACATGGTACCTCAACTACGACACGGAGAACTTCCAAGCTGAAATGGAGGCGGTCGTGTGGGAGATAATGCCGCTCTACCGGGAACTGCACGCCTATTTGCGTCACGAGGTGCAGGCGGCCTACCCAAAGGCGGACACAAAAAGCGATAGCGCCATCTCCGCCCCCATTATGGACCAGATCCTGTCGCAGGACTGGTACCCTCACCAGTTCTTTCGCACACCGCACCAGGGCAGACAGCACCAGTTGCCCTCTGTTCATCGGCGTCTGGAGGAGGTCCTGGTGACGCCCGTCAAAATCAACCGCAAGGCCGCCGAGTTCTTTGAATCGCTGGGCTTAATGGTGATGCCGAAGTAAGTGTATGCTCTACAGTTTTGAAATCTTTTGGCAGGCAATTTGGGCAATTTTAAACAATTTTGTATAGGTATTTACTTAAAATTTAAATTCCAGAAGAATACGGTTTGTTTTAATTATGCACGCTATACCTTTAATATTATTTCTTGCTTGGTTAAAGTTAATAGAAACAACTTTTCGGGGACAGCATTTTTTACGACCGCTTTTCCCGCCGGATGAACGACGAGGAAGCCGGAGCTGAGTGCAAGTCGCAGGTATTTTACTTCCCGCCGGACGTGGCGCTGCGCTACTGCCCCAAACTAGACTACAAGAAGATGATGCAGATTCACGGAACGATGGCCGAGCTGCAGTACCACCTGTACAAGATGCAACTGCCCTTTGGTCTCGACACGGAGCCATGTCCCGGATTTGGAGCTGCCATAGCGGAAACAGTTATCCTGGCTTCAGGCACTCCACGCCACCTGCACCGGCTACACATCCTGCTGAACGACAGCCTTTCGGAGGAGCAGTCCCTTAACCGCCTCTTTCGCATGGGTGTGCACACCCTGATCGCCGTGCCCCAGTACTTTATCAATGACAAATTCCTCGTGGACGTCATGGACGGACGGATCGGAGTGAAGGACTATAACTGCGCTTACTGGGGCCTCCAGGACAAATTCGCCGGAGTTCAGCCGCCAACACAACGCCTTAACAAGGACTTCGACCTGGATTTCAAGTTCTATCGAGGATTAAATCCGGAAACCTCCAATACCAAGTCAGTTTGCATCCTTGCATCATTTGCATTTGGTGATTAAGAATTTTCTATGCCCCGCCCACACAGAAAATTTATGGCCGAGATCCTAGGCTTCCAGTTCTATCGTTCCTTTTGCCTGGCAAGTGGCCAGTACAAGCCCGGTGATCCCGATTTCCCACTTCACAATTGCGATTTCTACGACAGCAAAGAGGCAGGAAAAAAGATTCGCGACATGATGCAGCTGGGAGCCACTCGACATTGGCGGGATGTCATGGAGATAGCCACCGGGGAGCGAAAGCTGAGCGGACGCGGCATCCTTGAGTACTTTGCTCCACTTTTTACGTGGCTGAAGGAGCGCAACAAGCAGATGGACATCGAGCCGGGCTGGGATGCAGATAAATGTGAGTATGGTGAAGATATCCATCACTTCTAGTGCCACAAGTTTTCGTACTTCTTTGCAGTGTGTCGGAGGGACTAAGATCAGTAAGACCTAAGTACAGGACGTATTTTTCTACCGATATAACACAATGAACCAATTACCTAAGAAGAAATATATAAGAACATAATCAATCAAGTGTGTAGTGAATGAACAGTTTACATTAATGGGCTTTCACTTTTTGTTTGACAATAACACTAGTCATAGTCATGAAAACAATCTGTTCTGATATTTAAATAGCCGATCCATTATTTTAAGTATTTATTTACAAAGGCACTTTGGTAAAACGACAGAAACTTAGGTATAAATTAAGCACTACAGATATCGTTATATTACGGATCCAGTATAAGCTGGATAACCATGTGGTTAAAGCACGAAGTGGTTGCCTTGGCTTGTTGCACAAGATATAATATGTATTGGGCATGGGGTGATGGCTTGATGACGATTGTGTTTAATTCAAGATCCATATGCTACGATGAAGACGAAGGGCGGACTGGTCGAAAACCACGACGTAATGGCGGGCTACATGGTCGTCTCCGAGTCGGGCGGCGTGTGGTAGTTAAGATTGTAGGCGGGCGGACCGTTGTTGAGAAAGGCCATTGACCGGATGCTTTCCCGCGAGGCAGTCCTTTTGGAAAAGGACATGGTGCTAACGTAAGCAGGCGCCGGATCCATTGGCGGCGGTGGAGGATACTGCTGCTGCTGCTGCAGTTGCATTGGATGCTGTTGGTAGAGGGGTGGTGTGCAAGGAGCCTGCGGCGGACTGGCGCTGGCTCCGTTCAGTCCAGCGAATACGTTCTCACCAGCGGCATTCCCGTAAGCGGTGGAGAGCGGCCGCGAGCCGTGAAAATTCGAGTAACTGGAGCGCACTGAGGGCGGTCGATTGTTGTACACCTCATCGGGAGCGTGACCAACGTCGTTTAGGTGCGTCGTGGAGTGTTGATAACTGGGGTTGAAGTGACCTCCACCGCCCGCGTGCAGGGTTGATGCTACAGTAGCAGATGGCAGAGGTGGTGGCGGCGGCAGGCTCGGCGGCTCCTCCAGCGCTCCTAGACCGTTGGTATTGTAGTAAATGGGGTCCAGCGGAATGTTTTTGCGGTAGCTGTGGTAGTAGTGCTCGTTGGGTTTGCCCAGACTTCCCAATTGGCTGCCGGAAGTATTGGTGTTGTTGACAAAGTCATTGTTTAGTGATTGCAGGTTGGAGGCTGTCAGCGAGAGCTTATCCTGACGGTGGAAGGAACCCAGGTGAGGCTGCTGCTGCTGCAGCTGCTGGTCGATGATTTTAGTCACCGGGTTCTGATGATACTTGCGGCGGGAGCTTCGAGTGCTACTCCTCACATAGCTGCCGCTGCTGCTGTCTGCTCCGCCTCCACGTCCACTGTGTCCGTGCTTGGATCTCAGGGTGCCGCTTGATCCGTGGTATGAGCGCCTGCTAGAGCCTCCTCCATTTGACTGCCTTCCTTGGGTGCCGCGCGCCATGACCGATCGCCGCTTGACGCGTCGTGGTGTCATCGGCTTGGGACTCAGTTCGCCGCCATCTTGGTCGCCGCGGGGATCGCCCAGTCCCAAGGAGTGGCCGCCATGCCGGATGGTGTCGGTGCTGCTGCCGAATTCGATGGAGTACAGCGACTGGCGGTGTTTAGACTGCTTGCTAATATGCTTCACTGCGCCGGGGAGAACAATATAGGATCAGTGGGAGGTTGTTAAGACCGTTAAGCCGCGGATACAATGCTCAAAGTTACCTTGGCTTATTTTCGAGTGTGCTATTGTGATTGGAGCTGTTAAACAAGTTGGATTAGCTACGTTCGGAGAGAGTCAATGGTTAGCGGTTGGTTAGAGCCACAAATGCTACAAAAAGCCAGCTACCAGTAGGAGAGCAACTAAGAGGATAGAAGGATCGGCTACGAGAAAAGCTTCCGACACAGAGATAGATTACCCATAGTATGGTGTAAATGAACATTTTATTGGAAACGTTTTCAATCTCATCGAGAATTGGCACCAGTCAGCGCAATTCGCATGGCTAAAGAGGGGGGATCTATCTAAAACAGTAGTGTCTACGCTAAATGGATTTAGATCTGCTCTGCTTATGCATTTTGTGGCCTCAAGCTTAATACTACACTTAACATTTCTATACATAATTCTAAACGTTTTTACGTTTGCTTGCGCTTGTATAACGAATCTCACACTTAACGGAATAGGCAACTTCTTGTTTGTGTTCGACAACTAAAGTTTGCATCGTAGTACATTTCGTAATCAAGGGCAAATACAATCATATGTATTACTAGTTAAACAACAAAAGGCAACTCTTGGGGAGGCTGCGCTCTCCCGCACATAACATCGGTATATATATGTTGTATATTCTAATCTCTATTCCGTCATTCATCCAAGGCATCTGGTTGCAATTGGCTCAAAATTTCATTTATCTTGCTCGTATTCTCAACAAATTGTCATATCCTTTTCTTGATAATGATTTTGTGACATTTTCGTTTTTTAAATAATCGTTTGTCGTTCATGTTTGTTTTCAGTTATCACAGATAAACATAAAATTGTTAGGCTTGCATTCTGTCACGACTTTCCACGCCTTCTATCACAATTCGAGGAAAGTCTCTACTGTTCGCACGTATGTGAATTATTAATTAGATTTACACAAAGTCAGCTCAGCAAGGCATCACTTGAATCGATAAACGCCTGCATGGGAAGCTATGATTAGGACCTGTTCTTAGCCAGGTTAGCCGGCTGGTTAGGCACAACAAAGAAACGGCAACACCTATGTATATGAAGGGTTTTATGTGTTTAGGGATCGAGTGATCCTGGTAGAGTTAGTAACAGCCATCCTGCCTAGGCAGAAAGCGTGAGTAAGAGAGAGGAGCAAGTGCAGCGGCACGTACTTAAGCCTAACCCTGCACGCCCACTATCGAGTTGCAGAACGAACGAGGACGGGACTTTTGACCGGTACCGCGAGCGCTCCGACGATTCACGTGCGGGGCCGCCTCTGCCTCGACCTGTTCCATTAGGCGATCGTCGCTCTGAGCGCGTACCACGTAACCAGGAGGTGTAGCGCGGATCTGGTCGCAAAAGTTTACTGGATTTGGTGGCCTTGGTCGACGATTACTGCGACGTACCATGGGCGACCCATGGGGGACGGGAAGGGGCACTTGAATGGGAAGTCCGGGTCCAACCTTGCTGGGAATTGCATAGCGCTCTGCCACTTCCGGAGAGAGATCGAGGTACGGCGCTTGACCCAAGCGTTGATGGATGTGAGGCCGCACTACCGGCGGAGGCGGGGGCGGGGGCGTCAGCATCTGATCGTGATCTGGCTCGGACTCGCCATCGGCGTCCTCATCATTTTGCACCTCCTGGCAGTTGTGCATGGGAACCGTGGGCAGAGGAATGTGAGTCGGTCGTCGGGCATTAGAGTTTGACCCCAGACGGAGGGAGGAGGGCAGACCGTTCTGGTCGTAGGGAAAGGCATTGTTGTTGGGACTAGGGCGAGAGTTGGAGTGGAAGACGAGGTGGGGCTGGGCGTTGTTGTTCTCGCCCAGAAAAAGGCTGTTTGGAGTGGGACTTTGAAAAGGGACGTAGGTGACACCGTGTTCTCCGGGAGCCAGCTTCTGCAGCGAAAAGTTGTCTTCGTCGTCCTCGAGACTGCGCGACAGGCGATCGAGCGGACGGACAGGCGAGGAAATACCCATGCCCGGATTGAATTCTCCAGAAACAGGGTAATCAGATTTGGGCGGCTTGGGTTTGTGATGAATGCGGGCGAAATGAGAACTGCCCTGGAGCGAGTCGGGGCTCTGGAATATGCTGTAGTTGCTGTTGCTTAGGGAGTTCCCGGCTAGGTAGGGACTCGAGTTTTGCAGGGAGGCGTACGAAAGCGACGGCGTGGTCTGGGGGGACATGGGACTGGGGCTGACGGGTGCCTTGGAGTGGTGTTGTCGATGGCGGCGTAGGCTACTGCAGTTGCTCCCCTCTCCGCCTGTGCGCTGGGTTACATGGTTGTTTGAAGGGTGACTTTGGGGTTGGAATGATGCGCTGCGGTTATTTGTTGTGTTTGGCGGCAGCAGCGCATGAGCACGCTGGTGAAGATTATTGTTCAGTGTATTATTGTTGCTGCCGCTCAACTGGTAGTTCGTATTGAAGTGGTGTAGTTTGGGTTGCTGCTGTTGCTGATGATGATAGAGTTTCAGTGAGTTCTGCTGCGGCTGCTGGTGCTGCAGTTGCAGATGCTTATTTGATTGCATGGTGGCGCTTGCGGATGTTGTGGGTATACTTGTATAGCTCACGTACATTGGGTGCACCACGGTATGCTGTGGACTCTTCGCGTCGCCGTTCATGAAATCGACTGAAAACCAGAAATTGATTAAGATGCTTTAACAATAAACAGAGGAAAACATCGGAGGTAGCAGGACACTGTGCAGCACCCATAAGCTTTTTACTAATTACAGGTCTAGTCAAAAGTAATTAATTTAGCTTCTTATTTGTGTAAATTAATGTTTTAATATTGTTTGTGCAGCTATTTGTAGAATAAACGATTTTTTTACATTCACATTTCATATCATGCAATTCAATTCATTTCGGAGCACCTAACTCAATGTCGGTTTACTTTGTTCAGAACTGCACAGTGTCGCTGTCCATATGCAAATACAATGTTTCTGATTTCTTGATCATGAGTAAATGACATATACATAACATGAATAACAATACGATTATATGGCATAATGGTTAATATAGGATACAATTTATGTTTAAATCGAAACCATAATTTTCTGGGTGTACAATCGCATTCCAGGTTGCGGGTTTTTAGGCAGGGAGGCAAGAGCCTTCTTATCGACATCCTGATATAATCGAGAATAACAATAAGCAATTGACTGAATTCTCGATGACAACTTTACAAACATTGCTTACACATAGGGGAATATTGCAGGCTTTGTGAGGAAAGGAAACATACACCACAGTGCACAGTGAGACCCGATAGTGAAAGATCTTATAGGGATGAGAGGGGTTAGCAATGACCGTTCCCGGTTAGTGGTGTTTATGACAGACGAGAATGTTTCAGATTCGCATTCACAGAGCGCCACTTACATCTGTCGTCCTCGTCAAGAAATATGCAACTAATCAGAATCGCACCGAGTATGCCGAGCAGCTGTGGGAGTGGGCGAGACAATTTACAAAATTCAAGCAACTTAACCCACTAGAGCACTCACCGCCAGAGCGCACTGCACCCCCGAGTGGGTGATCTCCACCAGCGGGTAGTCTAGCAGGCAGCCTTCCACGCGCTCCGGCCGCAACGAATCGTCCGCGGCTGTGCTATAGGTGGCCTTGCAGCCGTACCCATTCGCCTCGAACCAGGAGGCGCTACCAGTGCCCAGGCTGAGCAGGTCACTTTCCTGTGAAGAGAAATCCGCCTAGTTAAGCAGAGAATGTCTCTCATGGAGCCGTGTAAACTCACCCTGTTCAACTGCCCCACATTTAGGTAGAAGCAAATGAGGAAGGTGTTCCACCCGATCCACAGGAAGTTCCATATTAGATACTGCAGGCGGGCACACAAAGTAAATTGGGGTTATCGCAGAGATATGGTAATCAGGGTACTTACGGTGATGATGTATTTAACGCGAAAGTGGTAGGCGCCGTAAAACCCGAATATGATGAACAGAATGTGGAAAAAGTTCACTAAGATGGGCGCCCACATATATCCGAGGAAGTCGAATACCTGGCGCTCGATAATCGTTATCTAGGGGCAGCAGTTGTACATTTCGAACTGTTATCATCCGGATCGGGGACTACTCACCACTTGCAGGAAGCATATTGACAGCAAAAAGTGTCGCCGCGTACACGAGCACGAGCCCATCACATCGTCATTCCATTCAGAATTTGAATAATAAATAAATCCGCTCTCCCCGTCGCTATCTGTCTTTCCAGCTAGCTGTCTACTTCAGTCTATCGTGGCCTTATCGGGACTGGAAATGGTGGCTATCGGCGGCTGTAGCTGGGCCTCCTAGTGGCATTTCCGCGTCGCCTGCAGACCTGCTGCAAGTCAAGCGTGGCAAGTGCCGCTCTACCTCTGCCTTTTGGCCTCTCGCTCGCACCACGAGAACGAACAGGTGCAGGGGTTTCCAGGGGCAGGGTGGGAGCGAAAAAGAATGCAGCTGCCCCGTCGAGCAGCGAACAAAACCTGATCTGTGTGAACCGAGAGTAAATAAAGAGAAATTAAGCCAAATGAACTGCGCTACCGAGAGAATCCCTGCTTAAACAGTGCTGGGGAGGGTACTAATTCTTTGAGCCTCGGTTACTGCGAATATAACTTGAGTCATGCTTCCTTAATATGAATATTTTAATATACAAATTCGAATTCTAGATAATCCATCAAATTTACTTAGTAAGCTATTATGAAAATAACTCTAAATATTCACCACATGAACATAGCAATTTGTAGAATGCTCTTTCCCTGGGAAAGTCATGGATAACTATTCCACCTATGAGGTACGAGCAAAGAGGTACTGCCCATCCCCCACTCCGCTGCTCACACACACTGGCGCACACGGAATGCTCCCTACCAACACACTCGAAGCGAGGGGCTCACGTAACTTGAACCAAGCACGCACTATTTTCGCCCATTTCATCTACGCGGGCACAAATGTGTTATATGCATGCATGTATTGTCGATTTCAACAGCGTCTGCTTAGTGTCCAGGTCAAGTATGAGCAATTAATTAATTAGCACACAGACACAGCCAGAGATGCTCCCGCATCTTCATTCCAGTGCGAGTACGCCATGTCTATATTTGAGGCCTCTCACTGATGGGCGTTTGGACGTAGCTTGGCGGTACCCGGTAATCAAATTAATCTATAATTCAATGGACAACGCATGACGCGCTTTATTCGTCACTCGAATGTGACTCAAAGCGAGAACTCAATTTCATTTGTTTTCCACTTGCGACACGGAAGCCCCACTACAACTATGCACACACCATCACACACACACACACACAGGGGGGCAGGAGCGAGAGATAAGCTGGTTTTAGATTCCATATGTTTGAATTGGCCCTAACGCAGCGAAATCGACCCAGCACCACTCCACTTTACATAATACTCAGCCACGGCGATTTAATATCTCGGAATTTAACGCTTTTCGGACTTACGCTGAGAACAAGTGCGCGAGCAAACGGGACAAACAATTGAAATAACTGAGCAGTGTGACCGTCTTTCAAAAGATCAGAATTCCTTCTGACCTGAGAGAAAATACTATATACCATTTCTGTTTTGAGAAATACCAATCGTTGGAAATGGTATTTTCCGTTATTTTTGAAATCTCATATACAATACCAAAGTATTAAGAATATGCCAGTAAAATATTTAAACGTTCCCAGTCAGTATACGTGTTGATTGGAAAAAAGAAACGGTGGGATTTTGGTTAGTTTAGTTTATTCTGTATGCATATTGTATAATTTGTGTTTTTACGGTTATCATACATGAATAAATATAAATTAAATTATGCTCTTCTTCTTCTGCACCGACGCTTGAAACTTAGCATTTCGAATTCTCGTTTTGAGTTCGGATTATTTTTGTGTCTTTGGCCAAACACCATAAAATATATATTTCAAACTCAACATTACGCTCAACGTACATTCATATGCTATGCGCATTTTATTGTGGCTAAGTCAGTTTCGATTTGGAATTCAAATTCAATTTTCAATGCTCCAAGATGCTTTGCATTCGCCTAGTTAATAGAAATATAATATTCGTGTTGTGTTTTCTTTAGCTAGTTTTTGAACTCGCAAGTTCTTCAATTCGGTTGTATTCAGTGTATTGTTTCGGCCGCAATGGTTCCTAACTCTGTCCTTTGCCCAATGTTTCATGATTATTTACAGCAATCGAGAATACAGTATAGTAAAATGTTCGCTACAGTTTCCTATAGTAGTTTTTGGGGGCTGGGAATCGTTTCCGCTGATAGTTTCCATTAATAATCTCTCACTAATCAGTAAATAAATTGTTTCTTCGTATCGTATCGTTTTCTTTTCTTTTTTTTTTTGTACAATAGACGCGTGTTATTTTTGTGTGTTATCAGTCGTTTTTCATTTACTTTACATGAATGTGCAGGGAAATTATTGTTAAGTTTTACTTGTAAATAATCCTCTCCTCCTCTAGTCGCGTCTCCTGCTCTACGAAATATGCTTGCATGCGTATGCAAACAGGTTGGATGCGGAATTGTATTTCTAAATTGACACAGATAATTTAGGATCGATCACAAAGCGTAGTAAAAATGAGAGAAGATAGTACACCACACAGACAGGTAAGTAAAAAGGTGTCCGCCTCCGTGTATATAATACAATAATTACATGAATATATATCTATATATAAATATGTGTGTGTGTATACATATATTTATAATAATATAATATGTTAGTTTGCTTCGGTTGGTTGTCCCTCCTCCTGAGCTCCGTAGCTCCGTAGCTGCTTAGCTCCTTAGCTTCTCCAGACCTCAAATCCAACGATTCGCAGAGACAAAAAAAGTTCATATACAATAACCCACGCTGCTGTGCAGGACAGGATTACGCATGCCGGATCGTAATAGAATCATCAGCGTTGTGCAACTGACAGCGGATGGAAAGTGGGCGGATGGGGTTGGGATTCAGATTGGGATTGGGTTTGGGCTTGGGGAACTCACGGTTCACTGGCTCTGGCGTGCTGGGAGCTATTCTTACTGCATAGCAATTACATTACATTACGGGACTTATGCATATAGGGAAGAATAGTGACAGATAGCTGAGTGTTGTGTGTGTGGTTTGCTCGGCTCCTGGAATTAAATTCCCTGGAGTGTCTGTTAGGAATTCATATATATGGCTCTACCACCTAGTCTGATCTGTTTCTGAATCTGTGTAAGAGGATGTGTCTGTTGGCTGACAATGGATCAGTCAAACTTTACCAATTGCCCCAAGAGGGAAAACAAAGTCCAGTCACCTTACTTCTTGCTCTTGCGCTTCTGCTTGGGCTCCTCCCCTCCGGTCGTTGTGGTTGCTGATGCGGCTGAAGCGGCTGAAGCAGCTGAAGCTGCTGCTGCTGCAGTGCCCGTGGCGTTCAGGAGATTGATGTTCGGCTTGACCGTTCCCTTTTTCTGGGTGGCCGGCTGCTGGGGGGTGGCCTGCGTGATGTTGTTATTGGTGGCGGTTGCCGCATTGGCAGCTCCAGTGCCTTGGGACGACAGGTTGTTCGACGGCGTGGCCGGCGTCTCGTCCAGGAAGAGCGGATTCTTCACCTCCATCTCACCAGTGGGAGCCAGGCCGGGGCACTCGTACACCGTGTAGTCGCCCTCCTCGTTGTCGTCGTCGCTCTCCACGTCTGACATGCCACAGCTACCATCCGTGGCCTGGTTCTCCATGGCGATGATCTGCTGCTTCTGGTGCTGGTAGTGGTACATCTGGGCGCTCTGGGCCAGCTTCCTGTCACCGGAAGGCGACACATCCTTGTTTGGCCCGGTAACGCCGTAGGCTGGGTATTCCACGTCCGCAGCTGCCTTGTGTCGATTATGGAACCTGTCAAGAAATATTGGTTAGCTTCTGGATTAGGCACTGGGAGGTTCTCAGGGCTACTTACCAAGTTACTCCGAGGGCAAGCAGCCCAACGGTCACCGCTGCACTAACACCCGCTATTAGGGCCACTATGTACACCCCCATCTCGCTGTTCATGCCCAAGTGCTGGCGCAGCACAATCTGCTCCTGACTGCTATCACCTCCGTTAACCAGCGTCAAATGCGAGGGCGCTTTGCTCTGCTTTTGCAGCTTGTTGATCAGTGCGTTAAGTTCATGGGGCGGTTGTTCTTTGGTCTGGGGAATATTCACTCCCGCCACGGCGGCGGCGGCCGCGGACTGAGGATTGATGCGGTGGAAGTTGGCGTTGGCGGCGTCCAGCAGCTTGGGCGGCTCAACGGGCACAGGAGCCGGCACAGGCGTATCGATCTTGATCTTACTGGCCGTGGTGGCTACTTCGGGGGTGGGCTCAATGGGAGCATACTCCTCGTAGTCCTCCAACGCCCGGGAATCCAGCTCGCCCGAAGGGTCGTTTGGGTTGTCAAAGAAGCGGGCGTCGTTGGGACCTACGGCGAAGGGAATCCGCTCGCGGAGCACGCTGTTCCGGTTGGGGGAGTTGCTCAAGCTGGGCCGATTCGGAAGGCTGGGCAGGGGCGGAAGGTTGGGCAGCCGGGGGAGGTACAGAGGAGGACTTTGGAGATCCGACACCGCCTCCATGGGACTGCCGTAGCTGGCTTCTGCTTCCGCGTTGTCGTACTGGTCGTACTGCTGGTTCAGGTTGTTTCCGTTGGACTCGTAGTCCTCCTCCGCCTCGCGCTGTACCTGGAGCTGCTGCTGCCGCTGACGGTACCGTTCTTCCTCCAAGAGTTGCCGCTGGCGATCCATCTTCAGGTTGATTTCGTGCAGCTGCTGGTCGAACTGCTGCTGCAGCCGACGGCGGGCGTATTGCTCCATCATCTGGGCCAGGAAAGCATACTCCTGCTCACTCTGCGCATCCATCACGGGCGGCTGAATGGGTCGACGGCGCAATCCTGCAAGGATTCGGATTCGGATTCGAATCGGATCAATTTAATCGGGTTAGTGGGCGCGGGCAGGTGATTATGGTAATGGTAATGAGCCTGGCCTGCGTGTTAGCGGTCGGAAAATAGAAAGTGAAATCGAAGTCAAAATAGAAATAGAAGGAATGGCCCAGTGGTGGTGGTCTGCCCCGAAAGCCTTAAAGGATTCGAAATAGACAAACAAAAGTTCGTTTTATTGCCAGAGGCTAAAAATAGACCAATTACACACGCGCCCAGGTCAACCCCAGCAATTCCTGCAGAGTGAGGGAGACCAATATACAGTCGGAGGACTGGGAACTGAAGTCTGTGACGTGCGTGGCCGCTCTACGGCACTTTGTTGTTTTCGTCGTGTTCGGCCTATTGTTGCGCTTGAATCAAGGAAGTATGTATGTATGTATTTATTATAGCTGCTGGAATTAACGGAAGGCGCCTAACTTAAAGGCGCTTAAATGTATGCTAAGAAAAAGTAGCTATTCCACATTATATTTATACGAATTGCATAAATACCAGTGGCATATGGCATACATATGTGTATGTATGTACACTTCGATTGAGGGATGTCCACCTGTGTGGGTGTTACGGTAGCACTTATACGTATTTATGTATTTACGACGTTGCAGTTGACTTGACTTTTTACTTTGGTTTTGCCGAAGCAAAGAGCGTGGGTGTTTTGGTTTGATTCGGAGCACTCGGTTGCTTCGCAGGGCGCGCTATGCATGTATCTAGTGCAGGGGATACACAAATCGAGGTGGCAGCCCCCTTTCGCTCCTCCTGCGCCATTCAAGCCCGAGCACTGAGCTGCGTGTATGGGTGCATGGGTGTACGGGTGTATGTGTGTACGGGCCATGGGTGAATGGGTGTGTAGTGCGCTATTTTTAGGCTTACCTGGGTAAACGGACATTTCGCAATGACCCAATATGCTGCAGAGTACCGTTGCAGCGAGCGCCAAGCTAACGGTGATTTCGAGGCGAGCCGCCATCTTGCACTTGCACCTGCACTTGCGGATTTCTCGAGAACTCACAATTTGCTTGCGAAGGGGATCTATCTAGCACTGAACGACCACTGCCACCACTGCCATATGGCCGGTTAATGGGGCTTTGGCCAGAACGACGACGTCGACGAGGGTTATTGATTTTCAACACCCACACTCGCACACCCTTGCGAATATATCCAAGTGGCAGCTGCTGGTGGTTGCTCCCCGAACTTTTGCACTTTCGCGTGGGCGTGCAATATTTGTGGCTAATAACCTGAGCCAACTGCACTTTTCGCGGATTTGCAGGCACTTGGTGGCCACGTAAGGGTTACGCTGCACCGGACCGGCTGCTAAAAATGTCAAAGGGTGCACTTTTCTCACAGATTCCAGGCGGAGAAGCTCAGATGGACATATGGATGTGAGGATATATGCGGAGGGGACTCGACTTCTGGGCTGCGTTGCTCCGCTGTCGACGTATACCGTTATACTGAAGAAACTGAATGAGCCTGGCGGCGGCAAAAAGCCCGAGAAGAAGCAGAAGCTGTGACGCAAATGTTAGGTTCGCCCCCGCGCTGTTAAATGTTGCGGGCAGCTTTTGAGGGCAGGCCGTGCAGCAACAACAACCACAGGGGCGCAGTGGTCGAAAGCAGCGCCTGCGCACAGTGGGCCAGAAAAGCTCGGCACGTCCGTTCCTTTATTCTTTGAGTAAACACGGGCATTCATAAAGAGCCGAGACGAGGCCAACGAAACTCTCGGCCAGCTAGCAGGTGGCTGCCACTCACGAGCTCCGAAGCCCCGCCAGCCTACTCCTTGCCTGATTCGGGGAACCTTCCCTTTCCTCCAGCTTCCTCGCTTGGGATAGGGCGCGCTTAATTTTTATCAATGAATTGGCAGCCAAAGAGCTTTTCCCACCAGCGAACGACTGCGGGAGTTTTGGTCGGCGGTAAGGAATCAATCGAGGTGATATGTGGATCTCGGATTCCTGCGGAGAAAATTATTTTTTATAAGCAGACGCAGTTAAAAGCCATTTACTAAAACAGCCTTCTCTAAATATAACTTGAGAAAGCAAAGCTAAGATCTAAGCCAAGCAATGCACAGAGGTTCGGGGAAAATAAGAAAAGTACTAGAATAGTAGTTGAAAATAAATTTAAAGTTGATGCTAAAGTGTCAAAAAAAATAATACCAACTCTGAAAGAATTTAAAATAAAAACTTTTAACGGTATATATTAGAATCAGTACATTAAGTTAAAGTATTTTTTAATGATCCAGCTTCGGTCACACTGATGAACTGGCTCACCTGGAACTACACTTCTGAGTCATTTTTAGGAGCGACAAAGGAAAAATCATAAACAAATACGATGGCCACCTTAAAGGGTAATTATGCACAACAATCTAATGCATATCTAATAGCTTACGTTCTTTGCCTACATTAAATACAACTGGAACCCGCTCCACCTCTCTTGAAACCATCACACAGCGTATGTCTACATCTACACCCACTCCTGCAGCCTATTGTCTGATAATGATTCCCCTCTTTGTGCAGGCTCTTCATATGCGCCTTTCTCACATGCATTGGACTTACCTTCCTGATCCTGGCCTGCGCCGTGCCCTCGCCGAAGATTTTCTATCCCTTCTTCGTTTTGCTGTTCTACGTGCTGTCAGTTCTCCCGGTCTTCATTGCCAAGAGGACAACTCCTGGAAATGAGACCAATCCGAAATCGGAGTTTGCGCTCTTCCTTACCGCGGGGATGGTGCTGAGTGCCTTCGCCCTGCCCATCGTCCTAGCCCACGCCACGGTGGTAATTGGACACACGAAGTTATTGGATTTTTAAGAGGGTTTCACACGGTTTTCCCTTTTCTACAGATTACCTGGACGGCGGGTATCCTGACGATAATAAGTAACCTTATTAACTACGGCACCATCTTCGCGTACGCCATGCGCGATGACGAGCCATATGGCTCCATGTTCTAAAGGGGATTTGTATTCCACAAAACCCTTTAGGCGAGTAACCGGCGCAGGAATATCACCGATGCACTGAGTCCTGGGGTTACGGCCATTTATCTGAAAGCGCGCATGCTGGTCGCTTATCCGCAGTCATCAACAAATCTCATATAATCAATTGTATCCAGATAAACGAAACAAAATAAAACAGACGTAGTAAACATTAGCAGCCAGCCTGGTTCCGGTTCCTTTTGCTGGTTCGATAGCAAAACCACTCTTCGATAGGCAGTAGTTCATCACACTGGCGTATCAAGAAGGGTTTAGCTGGTAGTTTTCACTCAGTTCACTGAATTGAACTGGGAATATTTGTAGTCGGTAAAATTGGCCTGAATGGTGTTCAATTGGCTGGACATAAAATAACAGGGAATAAGCATTCCGTTTTTAAATATACCAATTTGTAAATATCCCTGCTTAAATCCCTGATGAATTGACTACGCGTGTGGTGATACTTTTTTCATTGCCAAAAGTACACCTCCTTTGACAAATGGAGCTAGTCTTAGTTTGAGCCAATAGCATGGACAGGATTATAAAATCAGAAATCAAGAAGGAAGAGATCACGGGTATTCCTTCTGTGACCCTCCATGGCATCAAAAACTCGCTGCAGGACGATGGGAATGGCGACACTGACGTGGATGAGGACTTGACAGAGGAGGAGTTGGAGCTATTCACTTACCAGGATGCAGACACGGAGGATTCTGATGTGACGCTCACGCAGCCCGAGGCAGCGCGAAGTGTGCCCTTGAGTGATGGTCCTATGCGCAAGTACCCTTTCAAGCTGAAGCAATGCGAATCTGGGTGAGTTTGCGCTTTAAGCGAATCGCGGAGTTGTACCCAACGAATATTGTTAATTCCAGGAACGTCCTGACCGTTCACCACACGATCAAGGAAGCAGGTCAGCCCCTACGCATCCAGATTGCCGCCTGCTGCTTCAACGAACTTAGCAACAAACTGGTGGTAATAGACAAGCGGTAAGGTTCAGTGGGAAACCAATAAGGAGATTCACTTATAAGCACTCTTTCTTCATCCTCAGTGGCAACGTTTTCGTTTTTGACTTTGTGCGCAAACGCTACTGGCGGCTGGGATTCCGGATACCCAAGGCCAAGCTCATCCGTCCATCCCCTCTGCACGCTAGCGACTACATTGTGGGCAATAAAACGGGCCACATTTTTGTCATAGACGTGGACAACTCTATTCTTGGTGCCGACGCAGAAGTAGGGAGCGCAGCGCTTGAGGAATTGAGTTGGAGCAATCGCCTGCAGAACCGCTCCTCTATCGCTCTAATGCGCTTCGGCAGGGATGCTCTTCTGGTGAATCTGCATACTCTGCAAGTATCCCACCAACTGGATTTCGATGAGTCGCGCTACACGCTGAAGTTCGCTGCCTTCTTGCCCAACTCGGACCAGTTCTTAATAGGGTTCTCCAACGATTCTCTGCATGTGTGGTCCTCCCATTCATTGGGCACTTTGCGGATGGGCCAGCCTATCAAGGCCAGGAATCGCAAGCTGAGATTGCTACCAGCCGGAGAATCCATTCCGGAAATAGTTCTCCGAAGCCCAGATGACAGCGACTTGGAGGAGGACTTGACGTTTGACTGCCAGGACTACGATTTTGCCGATGGATTGCTACTCAGCTACTGCTTCACCCCCGACGGCAACAAGATGTGCCTTAGTACCTTGGACGGCTATCTTTTATTGCTGAGCGTTGCCTCCTTTGATCTGGAAAAGATGTATCGCTTGACGGACTTTACCCTCCACCAAATGGCTTTCCTCTCCCAACCAAAGGAGCGCATAGTGTTTGGAATTACAGCCAGAAACCAAGCGGTCATGCTGGATTTGGCCAATACAGATCACAAGCTAATTGTTCAGCGCTCCAATGCACGCAGTTTGAGTCTGAGTCGGGATGGCAAGCTGTTGAGTGTAACGTCCCGCTGCGGAGAAGTGAATGTGTGGTCCACCTGCCGCATTTTCAACGCCCTGCAAGCTCAGACCCGCTGCCTCAGCCAGATTAAGTCCACTTTCAAACAACCGAAGACTCTGCCGTCCTGCAGCGTCGGTGGAGGCGTTAGCAAAGAACTGCGGCACCTGCTCAATCCGCAGCGCCTAAAAAACATGCTCAAGGAGTACGGTTGCTATCCGGAAAAGTACAGGTACCTAATTTGGACATCCCTCTTAGACCTGCCCTGCAATGGGCCACAATTCCAGGAACTTATCAAACTGGGAGCACCTCTGATGGTCAGAAATCGGGCCAAGAAGCTGAAGATTCGCAACGATCACCAACGCCGCGTTGTGATTAAGATCTGGAGTTGTCTTGCTCAATGGTGCAAGGTCTTAGCGCACGCAGATTTTATGCCACACCTTATTTTCCCGTTTGTGAAGCAAATGCCCAAGAACAGCCTGGTTTGCTTCGAGTTAATCGCTACTCTTGTACTGAACCATTTTCAGCTGTGGTTTGAATTCCACCCGCTGCCGCCCTCCAATTATCTGGCCATGTGCGAAAATATCCTGCAGCACTGTGACGAACAGCTGTGCAAGTTTTATAAATCCCATGAGATCTTGCCCAAAGATTTTGCTTGGCCCCTTCTGAGCACCGCCTTTTCCGAGGTTCTTGAAGAACAGCAGTGGCTGTCGCTGTGGGACAACATCTTCTCGGAGCAACCTTGGTTTCCAGTTTTCCTGGTGGTGGCCTACAATTTGATTCATCGAGAGATAATCGTGCGGCTGCCGGACAAGCGATCAGTCCTCTCCTTCTTCCACGATCAGAACCCAGTGGACCTCAGCAAACTTCTTTCCAAGGCGCGCAAATTAATGTCCAAATGTGCGCTTGCACTTCACCCACAGCGTTTTATGCTGCGTTTCAGCCCCATTCCGAAGGGCGTGTATCCAAAGTTCCTCAAATATCCCAGTAACTGGATTGACGAGCAGGAGGATCAAGCAGTATCGCTGATCAAGCACAACCAGGAGATCGATGCCCGAATCCGCCATCTAGAGTTGGAGGAGGTGAAAATTATGGAACGTCTTGAAAACGGGCTTAAGCAAGAGGAGCACGCCCGCCGCCTCAAAGAAATGGAGAAAGTTTATCAGGACACAATCCATCGCGAGGAGGAGCGCATCACCTGCCAACGGAAAATGCTGCTCACCTACCAAATGGAGGTGCGTCGGCGCAAGAGCGAGGTCATCACTAAGTTGCAGGAGTCCGAGCAGCGACGCAAGATTCTGGAGATGGAGAAGGACATGGACCTGCTGATGCACAGCATCGAGCGTGAGCGTCGGCGCCACAACCAAGAGATGCAGCTGGCCGAAGATGAAATACGTAACCAGGAGATGGAGCTCCTTGCCCAGCGCTACTACTCGGATACGGAGGGTGCTCCACTGGCACAAAAGTATTACGACAAAATCCAGCAGCTTTGTTATCAGCGTGATCAGCTGCAGAATAATTTGCGTGATGTATGTGATAAAAGGTTTTATATTATATTTTGTGATCTTTAAAGTTCTTTCTTCCGAGCAGATGACCATGGAACAGCTGCGAACGCCAGCGACATCATCCGTGCAATTTAGTCCCCAGCTGGTGGATATCGAGAATTCTATTTTTGAAATCCAGAAAGAGTTTACGGAAATCATAACGACCGATACAACAACATTGAAATACAGAAGGAATTTATCTTAATTGAGGCTTTTTTGTACAAATAAACGTCTAGGCTAGGATTATGTACATGGGTCTAATGAACAAGGCATCTCGGTTATTTCTTATCCGCGCTGGCATTGCTGGCGGGCGAAGGCACTAACACGTTGGGCACATTGATGAGCAAGTGTATACTGGATGGTGGAATCTGCAGCTGGTCGGCCACCACTATAAATTGAAATAAATTAAATGATGGACTCAGGAGCGGCTTAGGAAAGCTTACCGCCAGCTAAGCTGTTGTGACTCTTGTGCTGCTGCAGCTCCTTTTCTAATCTGGAAATTCTTTCGTGCAGTTCTTGATTCTCCTGCTGCAACTGGGCGTTCTGCTTGATGAGGTCCTTGTGCTCGTTTCGCATCTTGTTACGGTAACGACAGGCTGCTGCCCTTCGCCGCTCCATACAATCCTCGTCCCGACTGCGATCCTTTGCTTTCGCAGCCTTGGGCGGTGTGGAGAAGTTGCGTCTGTTGTTATTGCTGTGGATAATGGCCTTTAATCGCTCCTTGATCGGCAGCTGCGAGGTGGGCGTCAGACTGGCGCTACTGGGCTCGTAATTAGGTGGGTTGCAACTGACCAGAATAGGCTCGGGCCTTTTACTGGCTTTATGTAATTCTTTCGCACTGGGTTTGGGCAGTATGAAAGGGTGAATGCCACCAGTCGGCTTTATCCTGTTTCTGCTAGAATCTGCTGTGGCGAGGGAAATGGGAACTGACTGAGCAGGCAGCACCCATGTTATGACCTGGGGCTGGATCAACTGCAGCGGTGGCGGACCATCTGCACTGGCTTTGGAAGGCGGGTTCACTGTCGTGGCTAGAAGCTGATCCACATCCATGTCGCCGCAGCTGACATTTTGTGGAACCTGATTTTCGGACGAAACCGATAGCGTGCTGGAGGCCTCGACGGGATACACCTGCGGCGTGTGCAAGGACTCGCCGTCATTGGGAGGAGCCTCTGGACGACTGGGAGTGCCGCTGACATTTCGCTCCGCTGCTTGCTGGAATCCAATGTCAAAGGGATTCACGTGCTGCAGGTCCTCGAAGAGACCCACCTCATCGCAGTTCTTGATCAGCCGCGTAGGCGTGGGCGTCTGGTCGGCGGCGAATAGAGTATCTGCCTTCTGCCCGAGCGAAATGTCCAGCGAGACATGTTCCGCCTGTGCCCGAAAGTTCTGATAGCAGGATACGTCGCCCTCTGTGGATTTCGGCTCAAAGTCGCCAAAGGACACACTGGCCAGGTCCTCCATGGCTCCGCCGGTGTCCATGTCAGCAGTTACATCAAAATCATACTATTTACAAATCATACACCATAAGCCGCCGACAATCCGCAATAAAAGAAACTATTTTGTAAATCACATTAGCAAAACAAAACGGAAGATGTTATCGATGCATGGATGTGTTATTGAACATATCGATTCTGTCAAGAAACCAGCTCGATTGATTTCAGCTCCAGCAGCAGTGTTGGTAAGTGAGTTAGGTTATTGTACCTAGGAAGGCTACTCGGTGTTTGCGATGTAAAATGTATTTTATTACCGGTAGAATATCCTAACATAGAACTTAAAATAAATGTAATGAGAAATTAATAGCTAGGAACTAAGTGCTCACTCAAACTTGAAATAATGTATTTTTTATAATAATGTTTTTTTCCCGTAGCTAATTTGCTGACACAGTAGCGATGTGAGCAAGCCAATATATCGATACCGCGATAGTGGGTGCACAAAAGCGCGCCATGATTTTGAATTTGAATCTGGTTACCAATGAATACTGGGGGAAAGAGTAGCTCTGTTGCGTGAGACCCTCTTTGTTCCTAGGCCCCATTATCTTTAATGCTGTTATGCAACCACTGTCTAAGTTAGCCATTCTTGACATTCGACATTTCCGCCAGGAAATTGCGTATCTGCCATCGCATCCCAAATGCCCAAATGCGAGTCTTCGGCACGTAGAAGCAATCATATGTGAAGAGGAAGACGAAGCGAAGAAAAAACGACGAAACATTTTTGGCAGCCAAGAAAACCCCATAATTTAAAATTTGTATCTTTTAAATTAGATTTCTCATTGGAGGAACAAGCAGAAAACAGACAGCGGACAAAACAACACGCAAAATGCTTTCAAGCCGCTCGCATTTTGGTTAACATGCACGCAACGAAACGAGCAATTTTCTAAAACTCTGCCGCACAAAAAGCCGCAGACTCGTCTTGTGGGTCAAGTTCAGTGCTCAAATTGTTCCCAGCGACAAGATGGAGACCCCTTCTCGTCTTCGTCCTCCTGGTTCGCCTCCACTCCAATCCGCTCCGTTTGCGAGGAACGAGGAGGGAGGACCGCAAGATGCACAGCATGAAAATTAAGAAAAAGTGATGCGTAATTACAGTCATTCTCTTTCACTGCAGCCAAGCGGGCTATTCCACATAGCCATACCCTTGGCCATGTCCCGATCTCGATCCCATCCCAACCCTGCCACGTTGCATGCAACGGACGCGCGTTTTTCGGACAGCGTGGTCCATGGTCCATGGAGCTATGGGATGGAGATGGGTTCCGATCCTCGGCTCTGGGTTCTCGTTTCTGGGACTGCGCTGCTGCCGGTAGAAACAATCAGTTTGAAGTTCGTTCGCATAATTATGGGCAATTTTCAAAGAACATGCGTTCCGATGAACATCTCTCTCTTGCTCGCATTCAAAGTATCGTCCATCCCCTCAGCTCCTTTTCCTCCTGCCCACCGCCAGCTCCTTGCCATCATCGCACTGCAACCTCGCCATCTTTCTTACTGTCCGTCGGTCTTTTGCGGTTAGGATCAAGTGGCTCAGGGTGCCCAAAATGGTTTCCAAGCTTGGAACGGCTTGGGATGAGCGCTGAAGTAAAACTTGAGTACATAATGCGGGGATATGTTCAGGACTCATATTCATTTTTGTTATAAATATATACTATACTAGTAATTTTTGTGTTATCGCAGACCTTATAGAGGTATATCAGTTGTCCTCATTGCGATGTATTTGCATCGCGTCTTAAAAAGGAAATCCACGAATATTTTCGGTAATTCTATGAACGAGCTTCCAAAAATTGTCCACAAGCGGAAATTCTTTGAGGATTTGAAACGTTTTGCTTGTGCTAATCAAATCTGAAAAATTGCACACTCTGAACTTATTATTTGAAAGCTGTGTTTCAAGGTTTCTGTTCCGAAATGCATTTATTGCAGTTCGTTATGAGGGACCACAGGATTTCGACCAAGACTTGATGAGGCAGGACCCTAGCGTTTGTTTTCATTTGATGAACGCTTTTTTTCGTGAGTTGACCAACTCGACCAACTGGCGATCAGGTTTCAGGCCCTAGGACATCTGCAAACGAGTCAAGGACCGCGTTGCCATAACGGGAAGTGCAGCCTGCAGGATCCGGCTGGTCGCCAGCTCAGAGGATCACCGCGTCCTTTCATAAGTATTCAAAAACGGAGTTCCTAGAACGCCCAACATTTGTTTTCCCCTGCTGACAGTTGGCTTTCCCGCTGCCTTTTGGACACTTTGTTGGTTTGCCATTTCCCCAGCGGCAGTTTTGCATATAATTTATTAAGTTTGGCTGCCTCATTTGGGGTTCCTCCAGGTTGTCGACCGTTTGGTCTTGTTTATTTTCCGCTGGTATCTCAATTTCTTCATCGAGTGTAAAAGTCGAAAGGTGGACACCGAACGTTTCGGAAGGCCGCAGAAGTGGTGGCTATTTCGGCAGATTGCGCATATATTTTTGAACAACTTCCACGGCCCGGGGCCCCGAAAAACTTCCTGTGCCGCCGCGACGCGAAATGATTTCTGCTTTTCCGACGGCATACACAGAATCGCCTTGCCTCCGAGATACAGATACAGATACAGATACGTTTCGCTGCCGTCGCTGCTTGGCGCTCCAATAATAATTTCATAATTATGGGTTATCTGGCAAGTGGCATTCGTAAATAATAAAAACTAAGAGCAAGAAACTACGATTCGCGGCAAAACATAAAACCGAAATACAAAAGAGCGCGGATCCGGAGTTCGGTTGCGTTGCAGCGCCGAGATTGATTGTCGCTAATGGGCGTGCGGCTGGGTTCCAGCGAAAAGGCCTCTCCTGGTTCCTGGCCAGCCCACTTGGGCCAGACACCCGGACAGACTCGGATTCGGATTCGGATGCGGACCCCAAGTCCCTGTAATTGTTTTAATTGCCCTCCAGCAGGTCGCAAAAGTAGAGCAGGCGGCATTAGAAAGAATGGAGTCTTCATCTTGAACTGGGTCCGCTTAAATGTGACCTTGGAGCCGTGCTCCACTCATAGGCAACCGTCATGAACGCTCCACCGATTGCTTACGAAAGCCAAAGCCCAGAAAATAGATGCTACAATATATATGCGGAGGTAGTTCTTCAAAGTATATTCAGAATGTGGATGCATTGGCGGAGCTGCCCTGTGTGCCTAACGGTGGAGCTGAGCCTTTTAGCTCGTGCTGTGAGCGCGCCAGTCTGTGGCCATCATCATAAGCCACAAGGATGGGGATCGGGAGTCGGGCCTTGTCGGCGCTGCTCTCATCACGCCGTGATTCGCCAGATGATGGATTGCGTTCACTTTTGATGGATCTGCCACTTTCAGTTAGGAATTTAATGCTCACGTCCGAGAGGCGCTGCCTAATTGCCCAGCCCGTCGTAGGATCCCGATGCCGAGATCACTGGGGCCAGATCCCCCAAGACCCCGCTACCTTTTCCATTTCCATTTCCGTTAAGGCCGCTGGCCAAATCTTGGCCCAACTTTCGCTTTTTCTGCAGTCTCCTCAGACTTTTCAGCGGCTGGCTGACTTCGGCTGCCGTCGGCTTCTAACATCCTGTCCAGTTTGTGTCCAGGGGCGAGTCCTTTGACTGGACTGCATAATTGGCGTCTGGAGGCGGGTCTGCGGGTCTGCGGGTCTGCGGGTCCAGGGCTTGTGTCCAACATGTGCCAAGCACATTCTGGCCCAAAGAAAGCAGGGCTAGACCTCAAAGGCGTGTTTGCCTTAAGAAGCCGCAAAGATCGATTAAACCCCCTTTGAAGAGGGCCAAAACCACCGCCGGGCATTTGGAACCCTTTGGAGACCTCGGCTAACGGTATCCCTTCTTAGGCATTTGTTTAATTGCATGTTTCACTCGAGTTTCAGGGGAATTTCGGCAATCCCAAGCCACATGCAACATGCCACAAACAAATAAAACCATAACTAAGCATCCGGGGAATAGGTGTAAGTATCTCCTAGTGCCACAAACACTTTTCGCCCTCGTTCATTAATTGTGGGCACTCGCAGTCGTAATGACTCCAAGCTGAGGCAAATCCATTGAGGTGAGCCAAAATCCATCAATGAACATCAATCCCTCGGCACTCGAGTTACACCGTGGATACTGCGGCATTATAGCGCTCAACTTTATGATCAGGTAATATGTGCATATGTGCCACTGCCAACTGTGGCAATAGCCACCAAATTTTGGCACAAGTCGTGGCAGTTTTGTGGCAGTTGAACTGACTTACTGCGCGACTGAACTCATACCATTGGCACAGCTCCATCGCAATTACCCCATTCACTGTTTCACCCAAAACGGATTTTACGCATTCGTAAACCTCGAAGCTCGCAGTCTCAATTCGCGACCTGCGGCCATTTTCGCGTTCTCGACTCTCCTCGACGGCGGGCTTTGTCTTTTGAGCCGAAACTGAAGCCATTGACAAATGATTGGCAACAGGGTAGCGGGGGGAGCGGGGGAGCGGGGGGAGGAGTGCGGCTCGGAACGGCAGCAGAAACTCATCAATTAAAAGTGCTAATGGCTATCATAATGATATGTTAATATCACTCGCAGCTATGGCCATTCTGCCTTTGTTTTTGCGCTCCGGCTAACTGCGGTTTAGTTCAGTTAGCCGGGCCGAAAGAACCGGGTTGAAAAAAGGTTACACAGCGGTCTCTAAGCCAAGGAATGTTGTTGCATGATTAATTATGCCTTGGCGACTTTTTGGCGGTCTCTCGCCAAACGCAGTCAAAACATATTTCCCAGCTTGCCTCGGCTTCATTAGCGCATTTCTTCCTTGGTGGCAAAAAGCAGAGGGTCTACAACTCGTGATATATGTCAAATTAATTAAGTTTCTGGCACAACCGTTCCGAGGGGTCAACGGAGCAGGTGAACGCGGCTGGCTGGGGCATCTGCCAGAGAGCATGCAGTGTTCTTCCCGAGCTCCAATGCGTCCATGGTCCCATGCTCCCAGCCCTGATTTATAAGTTCAATCAAACTCATGAATATGCACACCAAGCGCCCGCGGCCTAGGATAGCTGATTTATGGCCCGAATCGGACCTGGAATCGGGATCGGGATCAGGACCAGATCTAGAATCATTGCCAGATACGGATGCGGACTCGAGTATGCAAAGGTTGCAGATCGACGGGCGCATTTTTCACCATTCCCAGATTGA